AGTCAGCGCTGCGGCGAAGAGACAACAAATCACACATTTGGGTCGACTCTCTGCCTTCTTTCTGAGTCAACTCAAATACACCTCATCGCGCCTGCCGGTCGAGCTGTCAACTTTGATCACCTTCGCCTCGCATCAGCTTCACCCTCGCAGTTATCGATACCACTATCGACGTCGCTATCAACCCCCCTGCGTCTGTCACCAACGGACCGTCGATTCCGTCGTGTCTGAAACCAGCCAGTGGCAGCCACTCAGACGCGAAATCGCTAGCCTGCTCGCGGAACAAGTCAACGCGGTGCCAAACTTTTTGCCGTTCCTTCGCAGTCCCACCTTCCGGGCACAGACACCAGCTAGGGTCCTAGGGAACACTTTCGCCCAAGCCCGAGGTCGTATCGAGCACCTCCATCCGCTCCATCGGGTTTTTGCCATTCTCCATAACCAAACGAAGCACGGGGAAGGGGCAATACTTAATTTGCTTCTACCACCCTGGCTTGGATACATTAGGAGCGCAACATCCCTTCCAAATTCCGAGCACACAACTCTTTCCACAAGCATCCATCAGCATCAGGCAGCCGCCCAGACAGCGCGAACACAGCCGCCGACGAGACATATACTGGCCATTCGCATCACCGCCCACGGACCGGCACAAGCACCACCCGTAGCAGCGGCACCTCCACCGATCAGATTCCCCATCACGCCGAGCCACCGTTCTCGGACCTTCTGCTGAACCCCAGAAACAGAGCGCGTTTTGCCGACCCTCGTCCGCCGAGTCAGCACGCATATTATTGCATCACCACCCGCAAACAGCAGCCACTCCCACACCCCATAACAGGGAATCTAAATCCCGGACGTGGCAGAACAACAACCACAATAACATCCCTCGGCCCCATCTTTCAGTACATCGACACTGGATCTCGCCGTCGCGTCTACTCAGCAACGTGCACGCACGTCTCATTTCTCAACAGCCACAATGTTCTTCTCGTCACCTAGCTCTAACATCACCCCCGTCATGGCATCGGTGGCCATGTCGCGGTCCGATTCTCGCGACTCAACATCTTCCAGCACAAACTACTACACATCCCACGCGCCCACGTCGGCATACAGCGCCCTCGTGAGCGCGTCGCCGACCTCAGCGTGGCCATCATCTGAGCCTCTTGCTCGGACAGACAGCAGCACGTCAACCACCACGTCCCAGGCACAGTCAGTGCCTATGCGTCGGGACAGCAGCAACTCAAGTTGGATGCCGAGCCCCTACCGCTCTTGCATGTCATCCTTCGGCGCTGAACCCAGTTCTTATCTGTCCGATGACGATCTTCTCTGCTCAGCTGAAGACCTCAACCTCCCCATTGAGACCATTCCCGCCTTGGTTCCTAAGAAGGAACTCACCACTGAGGAGCAAATCGCCCTGCTGCGTGAGCTGCAAGAAAAGGAAGCAGCTTCTGCCCAGTATCAGGCAGCAACACACTCCGACGCAAAACGAAGAGTGGTGCGATTTGCGAACCAAGACGCCAGCTGCTCGAGCAAACCTCGCCGACCTAGCACGAACAAGAGACGACAGACTACCGTGCGACGCTGCATGAGCTCCCTGAATGGTCCTCAGTAAGGCAGCGGCTGGGGCAGGCCCTCGCCACTTCTTCTGTCCTGTCGCCCTTTGGGGCAAAGCGGTCTTTCTAGCAAGCGACATGTTTCTTTGACTTGATTGAGCGCTTTTTGCATATTTGCATGCGGTTTACGGTCTACGATACCCCAGCCTACCCGGCTGATTGGATTATGAATGAGCATGGTCGAGTCATCATTGTGCGACTCCCACTTCTCCCTGGCAGAGGTCTTAAACCTCCGTTATAGTATTATTAGCTTAATCTATCACCATGAAACCAACACCTGCTCCTTCCGTGCTTCTTTCCTGTGAGTTGTCGCCGCCCAGCCTCCCGGGTAGTGAGGCACCGACGATACCCCAACTATGCGGGCGACCGTCGGGGTATGAGGTTCAGGCACGGAATCAATGTACCGAAACATCTTCGCCAAGGCCTCGGATTCAGCGATCTCACGACAATCAATTCCGTCTGCTCGGTACAAACCTACGGCTCCGAGGCCATTCAAACGTGCCGCTGGAATGAGTGTGATCTACACTTAGCCGACACCTCCAAAACCGCTTTGCGATTTGGGAATCATCGCTGTCACGAAGAAGATTTACGCTACGATGATCACAGTTCGTTCATCACTGTCATGGTGAGGAAATTCCGACCACCCGGCGGGGAAAGCATCCGCCGATTCAACTCACTTGGGGTTGGTTACGTGCGAGATTTTGCACACTCGTCTGCTATTCATCTGCCGCCCACCCTCAACAGGGAGGAAGGAGCCCCGGAATAGGCCGACTGGAACGGCGAACTCAAGCTTGTCTTCTTCTGCTACATCATCATGATGTCGGTGAGCGATGCCAGCGAGGTCGAACGTTGATGCCTGAATGATGAGGCCTGACGAACGGCCACCAGGCACCCCCCAGCAACCACAAACCTGCTTGCGACGTGGCGGCTTGGTCAGGCCCCGTTTTGGGAGCGTCAGGGCGACCGTCGCCTCCCGGGAGCAAACACCTTCGACTTCCTTCCATGCATTAAGGTATTACACACGGGGTAGTATTCCGCTGGAAGGCTGGTTGTTCAGTCCCCAACTTGATGCGTTCACCCGAAGGAAGGACAAGTGGGTGGACAGCGTACTCGTCGGTGGTGAGTCATGGTGCCCGATCCACGACACTCCCTGGGTCCCGAGGCCCTCGTAGCCGATTGGCCACCCGATCGTGATTTCTGCCCATTACGTCCGAGTCTTTCAATTCTACACAGCACGATGATTATCGTATTCGTTCGGCGTCCACACCGAAGAAAGGTGGGTGGGCCGCGTTCCTCATCGACATTGCGAATCTCGCTCCACACTCCCGGTGTGCGGTGCCGGCTGTTGTGTGCTCGGCCGATTACATAGTCCAAGACATGCTTTGAACGAGTCAGATTTTCGAGGACGGTGTAGCCACAGTAGCTGATCGAGCTCGTTTTCGCCTTCCCCATGAACCATCATCCCGCTTCCATGTAGGCATTGGTGGTCTGGTTGAATTCCGTGAGGAAAAAGTGTAAACAACGATGAGCCATGTGGCATTACTATTCAAGGTCTGACGGGAGTGTTGCCGAAGTTCGCGCATGTCGCCTCTGAGGTCTTCTCTTCGTGCTGCACACCCCAACAGGGATTGAACTTTGGAATTACAAGTGCTCTCACCAATGCAACGATCGAAGATAGAAGGTACATCATGCATTTCACCATGATCTGTCTGCCGTTCTTTCTTCTCTGAGCAAAAACAAAGCGACTGTCGTTCGGCTCCGATAGTCGACGCCTAGGAGCAGACCGAGACCGCTCTGCCGCTGCGTGGGGTGGGATGCTCCTTTACGACTCCCACCATCCACGCCAACGAAAGTACGGAGTATTCGCAACTCAAATCTTCTACCCTTGCTCGGTGTTTGAGAACCCGACACCACTGGCTTCCTCCGGTGGCCTTCTCCTCGCCTCGCCTCAAATATGAAAAACAAACGCTGTGCATAAGGAAGTTATGGAAATGAGAGATCCCCACTGCCTCCAAAACTCTTGGGGTCTTCACTCGGTACTTCCCTGTGGACAGTTTAGCAAGGGAGAAGTGTCAGCGTTGCTTTTGCCTCACTTCCCTAGCCACTACGAGTACTTCGCGCCCGCATACTGTGAGTCTCCACGGTAGCAATTAGAAGTGGGGGGGATGCATGATGAAAGTGCGCCGTCATCCACCGCCACATGGCACATAGGTAAGCGGGAGTGTGGGATTGCAGGACACGCCGTATCGGCAAATGGTGCTTGGAAAGGAACTTCGCCGGTGGGAGAAGCGTCACGTGTTGCACGTGATCCGCGGAATGCCGCGCACGCCGCGTTGACCTGCAAACCGATGCGCCACAGCCCTTTGCCATCATCAGCCACTGCAAGCTCAGCCACAGAAACTCGGGCTGTTAACTGGACGGAGTGGAGGATTACTAAGCTTGCATTGTGTCTCTCATTAATGAGAGAAATGCTATCCTCTCAGAACAGCCTCAATTCCCCGGATTCGAGATGATCGATTACTTGCCCGCCATTGCTGGTCACTCAGTTTCCGACGTTCCTAAGACGAGCCTGAGACGGAGGCTGGGTTCGACTCTGTTCCCACGATACCTCTGTCCACTGTCTGTTGACAATTTTGGCCAACTGAAGTGATGCTCACGTTTCCCTTCGTCTGTGGCAGCAGCGCATATAGTCCGGGACTTTGTGCTGATCACGCCAAGTTCGAGAGTAAACAGACACAAGAAGCAGGGTAGATCCTTTGACACAGATGGGAAGAACTGATCATTGCTTTCTCGACGTACCGAGTCACGAACGAACAAGATGCTCTCCTGCTTTGACGCTGGAATTTTGGATGTCTATCGCAGCTTTGTTGCATGAATCATTGCACCCTTAGTTCTTCGCATGTGCCAGGCACCTACCTCCCAGTCTGGTGAAGTTCTCGTCACGTTCAGTGTCAACATGGTTCTTCCCTTGGCCTGCGTTCACCCGCCAGTATCGACTTGCAGCTCTGTTGATCATTGCGAGCCCCAGTGTTTGGCTAGGGTTCTTAGTCTGTGGTCAGCTTAACGCAATGAACATGACCGCATATTTGGTTCTTCACACCAAACCCTTTGTCTCGAGATCTACCTGCCCAGAGTCACTTGGCGAGCTCGACCTGGATAGCCGAGGTCGACCCTTGGCTGACTCGACAGATCTCAGTCTCCGCAAAATACCCCGGGAAACCCGCCTAGCTAGCGGCCCAAAGACAATAGGGCCTTCCAGACCGCGAAGGGACCCCTCCGAGACTCTGGGAACCTCTCTGCACATCGACATTTCAATCCAATGAGTGGCAGTGAATCTATCCTCACATATCACGCCTCGTCAAACACTCAAAAGCCAACAGTATGTCTCTGCATGGAGACATGGCCGGCTCTGTGCCAGTCCCTCCCAAGAAAAGCAATACAGCAGCAGAAAAGCGGTACGCGACCAAGCACCATCTTTGATGCTGATGCTAAGTACGTGAGCATTCAGTAAACTCCGCAATCGGCTGTCTCAGCAGGCATTCCGTGCTCGTCAAAACCTTGAAATCAGCGAACTGAAGCAGCAGCTTGCATTGTTCTCTGGTTCCGAGAGCGATCGCAACGCTAGCCTCGTGGCAGAGAATCAAAGACTACGACAACTACTATGGCAATCCGAGAAGAAACTTCGAAGCTTGCAAGCCTCGCTCAAAGGGATCCTCGACAGCATGGCAGACGCTAGGGACAATGACTTTGTAAGTGCCATCGTCAAGTAATGATTTTCGTGGCCTCCAGGGGTGCAATGGGTCTGCTTTCGAGAGCATCAATGCAATCTATTGGTCTTCTGACAGGCTAGCTAATAGGCCACCACCGAGAGACACATCGAGGGCGCAATCAACCAGACCAGCAGGTCAGACTTCTCCCTCGACATCCTTTCAAGCCAGGGCAATACCGAGCCAGCATCCTCGAGTGAGGAACTTCCATCCGACCCGGATTCATGCTCGGACGTCTGCCATTCCATGTCTACCTCGGACGAGCCATGTGTTGCAGGAATGCCTTCAGTCGAGCAGACCGTATTGATGCCGACGAGTGCGGGCACAAGCGGACATCATGCCCAGGTGGACATTGGTCAGGAACTTTCGGTGGTACCGACAACGGGATTAATGCAGCAGCTTCTTTCTCCCGAATTGATGATGCCGCTTTACCAAAGTCTGCAGGTGATGGCCCCGTCGAAGTACTCAGAACACATTCTGGCGTATGAGATGTGCGCAGTCAGCTACCAGAGCCACAGACGGGGTGGGGACTTGCACAGGTACGTGTCGCAAAACAGGGCTCCTCACTCAGACGTTGCAGACAATTGACACACGCCGAACAGCCTCAATCAGATCGTGTCCAGCCTCGTCTCGGCGTTCATCAAAATCGCGTGGCGAGGCATGGAGCCCTGGCTCCATTGCACCAACGGCAAAGACACACTCACCCGACTGGCGGCGTGGCGCATTTCCCCTAGCCAGGAGACCCTGGCGGCGATACCTCCGGCGCTGCTGCCGACGCAGCTACAAACAGCCGTCCCACACCCTCCCGTGATCGATTGGTGCATTTTCTCCTTCCTGAGGGACAAGCTCATCCAGTATCACTCTTCGGATCCCGCGCTGGACGAGATCTGCGGCGAGATCGGGCTGGCGTACGTCGTGCAGGCCGATCTCTCCGAGTTCGTTGCGGGTGCAGAACCTCTCACGGTCTACTTCAGCATCCACGATATCATCTCGGGCATGCAGAACAATCCCAAGTTGGTGGCGGACGACGACGACGACGACGATGGCAACGACGGCAACGCTTCTGCGCCGAACCCCGAGGTCAAGCTCCCGGCCCCGGACCTGTACACGCTCTTACACACGAGGGAGTACGCGCGGGCAGTCTACCATCACCTCGGGATCGGGCGGGGCATCCAGGAATACAGTCTGGATCCGACCTTGTTCACCAGGTACCCGCATCTCTACGAACCGAGTGCCAAAGTGGCTCACGGGGTCGCGCTCAGGTCGTCGAACAAGATCACCTGGCCGACTCCGCGGCCTCTCGATGACGTGGCAATGAACTGCTATCGCAGGTGTGCGTCTTACTATACTGATCTCACGGGACCGCTCCACGCGTTCGACGGAGCTGAGCGGCTTGTGTGATGATATTAGCTTGGAACTGTACTGCGAAAGAAAAGGTTGGAAAAGCGCCAAAGACGAGGGGAATCCCCTCCGATTGATATTGTAGACTTCAGTCAACCTGGCGCTTGAAACCTATCGTATTCGTCAAGAGTCCCAACACGGCGGTGAAGGGTGCGTGCCCCCTTCTTTAATGGTGCTTCACACGGCCGGGGCTGTCCTTGGTCAAGCCCGCAGCGGCAGGTTCTCCGGCAGGTCCAAACTCCAAGGCACGTCCTCGTTGCGAATATACGGCGCCAAGTCGACCTGCTTGCCCTGCTCAAACTCCACCTCCAGATCGGTCCGGCCGTTGCCCAGAAAGGCCCAGACGTTGTCGTGATGGTACCGCAGGTCGTAGTGTTCGTAGCGCGGCGTCTTCAGCGCCTTCATGTGATGCAGCAGGCTGCCCGGCCAGATGTACACCCGGCCGTGCGGTTTGTTGTCCTTGTACCACGACCGACACTCCTCGGCCCACACGCTGTACTTTTGGTGCCAGGCGTCGAGATGCTCGTTGATCTGCGTGGTCGGGCCTTGGCGAGGTTCCATGGCGCGGATGCCGTCTTCTTGCATCTTCCGACAGCACTGGAGAGCGTACTCGAGTTGGACCTCGTGCTGTGTCCGTCCCAAACGAAACTGTTAGCGTTTGTGTCGTGGTTTTATATTAAAAAAAAAAAAAAATTCAATTGACCAGAGCGCTACGATCATAGATAGATAGGCGGGGTAGAGAGGGGCCATGATCATAATAGATAGGCGGTAGAGAGGCCATGATCATAATAGATAGGCGGGTAGACAGGATAGGCTTCGCTGCTTGGCTGAATAAAACATTAGAAGAACTCACCGAAGGGAGCGCACACCCCTGGCCCCAATTCCCAGTCGGCCCATTCACCACAAAGTAGTTGGGGAACTTGGGCGCCGCGATGCTGAGGTAGATGTTGGGCGTGTCCTTCCATTCGTCCTGCATGACGGCGCCGTCGACGCCCGTGATCCGGAAGTGCGGCGTGTACGCGATGTTGAACCCCGTCGCACACGCGATTATGTCAAACTCGAACTCCTGCCCGGACGCGGTCACCAGGCCCGTCTCGGTGAATCGCACAATCTCGTCGTGCACCACGCTCACGTGCTCCAGCGTCAACGTCTCGAGGTACCCCTCGCCGGGCGTCAGCCTGCGACACCCCGGCGACCACTCCGGGATGAAACGCTTCTTCAACTCGTCGTGCCCGGCCCCGAGCTTGGCGCGCATGCTCGCCTGCATCATCTCTTTGGCCTGGACGTTCTGCTTGGTGCCCCGCAGGAACATGGGGAACGCCGCCGTGAGCGCCGACTCCAGCCCCTTGCGGTATTGGAGGTGGAAGGCCCGGTCGTTGCGGAACCGCTCCTTCTCGGCGTCGATGTAGTAGTGCTTGCCGGCCGCGGCGGGGGGTTGGCCGTTCGGGTCGACTTGCTGGGCGTCTGTCGCGATCTGGGGCGCAATGTACGTCATGTTGCGCGCGAAGACGGTGACGGATTGGGAACCTGTTGGGTCGGGCAGCGAAGTGGCGCTCAGTTAGAATTTAGGAGTTCAAGACTCAAGAGACCGAGCTCGTGCGCGGTTGTTTACCTCTGGCTAGATGAGGCACCATTTGGATGGAGCTCGATCCCGTGCCTAGCACGGCCACTTTCTTGCCCTGCCAATCGATCGAGGTGTCCCAGTGAGCGCTGTGCGCTAGGGTGCCCTCGTATGAGGAGATGCCTTCAATCGCAGGCCCTGGCAGTCGCGGAAGACGGGTGTCAGCGGGTCTGTATCATGCGCACCAGGAGTTATGGACGCTCGAGTTCCCGAGTACTCGATGTGATATGAGAGGACGTTTGGGCTGGGCTTACATTTCCACTTATTCACGACGCCGGAGCCGTTGATCAGGACGTTGCACCGGTCTGTGATTGTGGTTGTTTGGTTTTCGTTCTCCTCATTCTTGACCTTGACTTGTACTTCCCCTGGATCCAGTCGTTCGTGACGGCGTCAGCCAGTTCTGAGCTTGCTCTGCTGGGTTTGGTACTGCATATAGAGGTGGTACTCACATTCACCGTCATCTTCGAGCCACGTCGCGCTCACAACCTCCGAGTTCAGCCGGATGTATGGCGCCAAATTATGCTGGTCGTGAAATCGCCGGAAGTATTGCTCGATCTCGTCCGCGCCGGAGTAGAAGCCCGACCACTCCGTGTTAGGCTGGAATGTGTACGTGTAGACGTGGGCGGGGATGTCGCACGCGCAGCCCGGGTATTTGTTCTCGTACCATGTTCCGCCGTATGTTGGATTCCTGTGTCAGACCGACATATTGGAGTTAGCTAGGGGTTTCATGGGTTCGGAGCATCGCCAGCAGCGGTCGATACACTCAAAGATAATGAGCGTGACGGGGTCAATGTCTGAGCCCTACTTTTCATAGCAGACGAGTTCGTAGTTGCGTAGTTGCCGCCGAGCCTTGTACGCTAGCAAAAGTCCTGACGCTCCAGCGCCGACGTGGATGATTTTGAGCCGTCGTGGTTGCGACTGGTATTGGTCGAGGACTTCGTAGTCCGCATCCGCGGTGCCAGGTTTCGCGATCATGTTGTGAGTCTCTCTGCAGCTCTGTATGAATGCCTCCCTACGGTGCGCGTGAGAGAAGAGTCAAGTGCGCCAGCGAGGAGAGGACTTCTTAATAGCAGTACCCACGGTAGAGGAAGTCAATTCTGCGCGGAGCATGTGCAACTCCGTGGGATTGGATGGTTTGCCGGCCTCCTCAGGGAATAGTAGCGGACTAGTTCTTGTCTTTGCAGTACTCGATAACTTAGTCTAACACCTCGGCTGGAGGTGGTCGAGATGTATGAATCTGCAGACAACCAGCCTCGGTCATGAGTCGGGTTGAACGGTATCGACACGGTTCTACCTTGGCCATCAAGCTCGATTACTGAGTGGACGTGTCGAGCCTGTGTGGATGGCGTTGCAGCTTCGCGAGGTGTGGTCCCCGTACCGTGTAGTCAGGCCAGAGCTCCCCATATGAACACCTGAGGTACATCTCCCACAGTTCGGCAGTCCGGCCATACCGGAAAGGGGATGAAGAAACCCCTGTCTTGCATACCGTGGGGAAGAGCATTGGCATGTTTGATTTCTCTTCTGCCGCCTCTGTCGGTTGCTTGGTCATCTTCGGTGCCACAATGCTCATGTTTGGGTACTGCTGTCCAGGTGCCTCGGGTCTGGGGAAGGGCGAGGACCGACCATACGCTCACTCACACAATGGCTCGGCTTCCTCTCAGCGGACAGCGCGAGGAGGGTTCAGTCAGCGTTGAATTACTATCCCTGCCTTACTTGCTTGGTTTTGGAGAAGCTGTGAGCGCCAAGTAAACGACCACAAAAGGACTAGCCTGTAATTACGGGGGACTGTAGGCTGCTTGCTTGTCGCACGTGCTTTGTACGGGCGACTAAATGTACACAACGCGACGTTCGCTCGACACCAGATCAAGTCGCTGCCATATAATTATTTAATCGTTCCTGTGATGGATGCTACAGTACTCAGAAGCCCAGACTTACAGCAATCCAGCGGAGGATGTTTTCAGACGCTACCACTGAATTCCTAGTAGATCTATGGTCAAGATGTTTACGCACCACATGACCCTGGCTGTTTTATGCGTGGCCTCCAGTCACCGACAGGACTTCACCCGCGACGTAGCTTGCTTCATCTGACAGGAGGAACGCAACCGCCGAAGCGATCTCAGATGGCTTTGCCACTCTGCCCAGAGGGTTGCTGGGCAGCGTATCCAGAAAGCCTTCTTCCTCCTCGGCGCGTTTGACAAAGGCCGCCGTCGCCGTCGCACCTGACAACATCAGCAATTGCTTGAGCCTGGAATTCTCCTTCGTCACTTACCCGGGGCGACAGAGTTGGTCCGGATCCCAAATTTGCCGAAGTCCTCCTGCCATGCCCGAGACAGACCGATCACCGCGTGCTTGGTGGCACAGTAGACGGCGAGGCCGCTCACGCCTCTCAGTCCCGCACCGCTGGCGATGTTGACAATGCTGCCCCGCGAGCCAAATGGGCCTTGCGGCTCTTGCTTCTCCATGGCGCGAAGAGCGGCCGTGCCATAGTTCCACACTCCTCCGATGTTGACGGAGATCATGCGGTCATATGCCTCATCTGAAGCGATGGGACCTTCGTACAAGCCAATTCCAGCATTATTGACAAGGCCGTCTAATCTTCCCGCTGCTGAGGCGACCTTTCCCATATACCTTCTGCAGACTTCTCGGTCAGCAACGTCGATGCCGCCTTCGAAGTGCACCTTGCCGGCGTCGATCCATGACTTTAGTTCGTCGGGCGGGTTGGCAGATAGATCAACCGTCCAGACTGTTGCGCCTCGCTCTGCAAGAGTCAGTGTAATGGCCATACCGATTCCCGACCCCGCGCCCGTCACAACCACGTTCTTGCCTGTGAAGCTCGCCATGTTGATCACTCAGCCTAGAAGGTCAGTCGGCCTACTCCAGTCTACACCCGTTTCCGGGTTCCCCTATAAGCCGGATGCCATCAATATACGAAGCGTTCCAGGCGGAAAGCCACGTGTGGCCTCCCAGGGGGCGAATGACTCGAATTGTTTCCGACCACGAAAAGATACCCCGGCTCCCCGGATGTTGGGTCAGTGGAGAGCCATGTGCGTTTTGCGGGGAATGGTGACTGAGCTTTTGTACCGTCAGCAGTGGAGCACGGCAAGCCGCGCGTCAGCCTTCGCACTGTCACGGTGTGACTACTCCCTTCGAGGCTGATCTTGTATTCTGTGTCAGTCAGGACTGACTCCATCTGGGCGCGAGATGATTGGCCATATCAGTGTGGATTTTGTCCGCCCTTAGGCATCTCCTTGACTTCTTCCGTGCGCCACAAGACGAACAATGCGTGCTCGTTGACGGATCATGCTTCTTTGGACGATGTCTGCTGCGGTCGAGACTCAGCAACCATTCCAGCCTCAGATTCAAGAGCATGGCTTGCCGAATCCATTGTCGAGCTAGTGACCCCGTGGGATTCAGTGCCGCTAGAGTTTAGCTACATATACAGATGTAGCCTCCCCCGGAATGTTGGAGGATGAGGAGAATACTTCAGACCTCTTCTCGAGACATCGGTCCCACCCTTGCACACAACACTGAACGGCGAAAGAGAGAAACCCGCAGGCAACAATGAATAACACAGAAGAGCCGGAGCGAGACCTCGAGTCCAGTCTCGACGACAAACAGAACCCAACCACGATCCAGCACAATGAAGTTGTCGGCCAGTGGGATGAGAAGACCGGCGTTGCCAAAGGCGACGATTCAGACGGACGTGTCAACTGGACCTGGAAACAGATCCTTGCAACTATTTCCCTGTGTGGCGTATACGTGGGTAAGTCATCTCGATAAGAGATACCTTCCAATCCAAGGGTCGTGCTGAGTTGTCATTTTTCCACAGGGTCGCAGATTCCGCTCTACTTCGTCGGAGGTGAGCTTGCAATACGAGGGATTCGGGAAAGCTCTGACAAGGAAAAGGCTCACTTACCTACATTGCATCTGACCTGGGATCGGCCTCGACTGGTTGGCTTCCTGTGTCGAACTCTCTTGCACTTGCCGCCGTCTGCCCGTTCTGTGGCTACCTTCAAGACATGTTCGGCAAGAGGAACATTTCCATTTTGGGATCGATTTTGATCCTCGTCGGCACGATAGTCACCGCCACGGCTCACTCCTTCGCTCAAGGTGTGGCCGGGATGACAATTGCTGGCGCAGGCGCATCGATCGGAGAGCTCACGGCACTGGCTGGGTGAGTCGGCTTCTAGGATTGCGCCCAAGCATGGTCGGGACTCAACTTGCTGATAAAAGAGGTCGTCAGGACGGCGGAGCTGGTACCTGTCAAAAAGCGTGGAATCTACCTCGCCTGCGTCACGTTCTTCATATGTCTGTCCCTGAACTCGGAGACATCCGCCGCGCAAGCGTACTGATATATCTGCAGGCCCGTTCTTTCCGTACGTCCTGTACTCCCAGCTGCTTTCAGCTCATGCGACTTGGAGATGGGGTCTGTGGATCACAGTGTAAGGAGCCTCACGGTCCCCGAGACGTCAACACTGACGGTAGCAAGCATTTATAATGGAGTTTTCTTTGGAGGAGTTCTTCTCTTCTACTTCCCGGATTCGCACATTTTGCGCAAGGGCACCTTGAGCCGGACAGAGATCGCGAAGCGGATTGACTATGTCGGCGCTGTGCTGTCCATTACGGGTGTGATCCTCTTGTGAGTGACTACCTACCAAGACCACCGCGGTCATCTGATGCTGATCGTATCCAGCCTGGTCGCCTTGCAGTCTGGCGGATCGTCACATCCTTGGAAAAGCGCATACGTCCTCTGCATGCTGTTTATCGGCGCCGCACTTATAGCCGGCTTCGTTGTGTGGGAATGGAAAGGCGCAACATACCCCATGGTGCCGAAGGACCTGTTTGCCGGCCAGCGTATTGTCGCCATCGCCCTTGCAGTTGCGTTCGTGTCCGGGATGAATTTCTGTGAGTACCAAGAAAGACTCCGTTTTCGACGAGCTTGTGATTATCATATCGTGGGCGCCACAGACTGGCTAATGGACACTCACAGACTCGATGATCAACTTCGCCCCGCTGACATACGGCACCGTCTACGAGCCCGAGTGAGTCGCTCTCTTCGCACCCTAATTCCCGAGGACCCACTGACACAGCGTAGCCCTATCCAAGTCGGCGTCAAAGGCCTCGGCTACTCGATCGCAATCACCGTTGGCGCCACGGTGATGAACGCCATGCTCACGATCCTGAAAGGCAACAACCGAGAACTCCTCCTCATCTCATGCGTCCTGATGAGTATGTGCCCCTGTCTGCCCTGTGCCCAACACACCCTTGGTGTATCCGTCCTTTTTTGCTGACCGGGTGATGACTTGATCCACAGCCGCCTTCACAGGCAGTATGGCGGTCGCCAACCCCAACAACCCAGGCCTGGCCGTCGGGCTGGCCACCGTCGCGGGATTTGGAATCGGAGGCGTCATCGTCCCAGCCGCGACCATCGCCATGACGGCCTGCCCTGACTCGCTGATCGCGACAGCCACGGCATTGACGCTGACCATCCGCTTCGTAGGCGGCTCGATCGGCTATTCCATCTACTACAACGTCTTCAGCGAGAAGCTGGCGCGCAAACTGCCCGAGAGGGTCCTCGATTTCGCCCTCGAAGCCGGCCTGCCCAGTTCGTCGGGCGCCACGTTCGTCCAGACCTTCCTCACCCTGCCCGCGAATATCTCGGACGTGGCGGGCGTGACGCCTGCGGTCGTCGACGCGGCGACCCTCGGATCCCGCTGGGCGTATTCGGACGCGCTCGCCTATGTCTGGTACACGAGCATCCCGTTCGGCGTGCTCTCCATTATTGGATGTCTCATGATCGGCGATATCTCCAAGTATATGACCAACAGGATTGCGGTCCAGATGAGGCATTGAAGTTGGAAGCGCGGGTGTGGAGGCCAATATCTCGTGGGCTGGGCGTGATAGGTATCCATTCGTGTGTGGATGGCCGTGAGCTGTCGGATCAACCGTATGTCTCGTGGGGAACACCAGATAATCAAACCTTTCGTGCAACTTATATCTGGATACTCAAAGCCGGAAGCTGCAAGCTGCAAGCTGCCAAGTGCAAGATGCAAGGACTGGTGAGTGGTTTGGCGACCAGATACAACGTCTCGCGGGAGCGGGCCGAACGACAATTCTGGTCACAGATGATACGCTGAATGTTAATCAAGATGTGAAATATAGGCAATCCTGAATTTCTTCTACGGGAGCCGCCGCAAAGACACTATGATGCGAAGCGAAGATACGGATACCCTGCGTGCTATGGCCCCTTCACTGGGACACATATCGGTTGTTTCGTTTGGGATATTTCGCGGCCCTTAGGTCTACGGCTGCCAGCCCTGCCTATCGTGCCTGTACTCTGAGCACTTTGACGACACGGACAGAGACAAGAACAGATAATGGATGGTGTCCGGGGACGTCGAACTCCTTCTGAAGACGACTTCGTCCGTGGGGACATATGGTCCGGACTCGCCGGGCCCACTGTACATTTCGCCTTGACGGTATCGCGCTCGATGGAAGGCGCCTATCCCAGCCAGCCAATCTTTGACATGGACGGACAAGCATGATTCCCGCATGGAACGTTCGATAACAGCAGGTAACTGGCTTAGGAACACGGGAAGGGGCATCGCTTTGACGCGTGGGTATTTGTAGATGGCCCGGTCATGGCTGCAGATGAGGACCGTGGACGACGTGTGCTAGCGGACAATTTCTTCTTCATGCTATTCTCCTGGATTATGAGGTTCGCAATGGAGATGCAGACGATGGACTTCCCCCGAAAGAGGCGAGGCGCGACGGTGAGAGCGTTATGATAGCGATAGACATCCTAGCGGAGGAGATCGAAATGACGAAGGAGACGACACAATCCCTGGTTGGGACGGGACCTAGGACTAGGATAACGTTAGCGGTGTTGCAGAGGAAGAGCTCGCCCTGGAAGTAAGGCTGGTATAGATCTGCGCTTCGGTGACCTCGCTTCGATTCGCAGTTTGCTAGTTTAGCCGCAGAGGCCGTCCGCACCGTCACGGTAGAAACAAGATAGACTTTGGCGGCGTTTGACACGGAACTGCGTCGTACGCTCCCCCCGGTTGGTCTAGCAGGTCGCGGACTAGCCATTCGTCTGTCAAGCAGCGGGCTCTTGCGCTCTCAGGCTGGATTTGACCGTGGCAGAATGCCAAACGTATCACGTCAGGAACTGGATGAACACAAGGCGAAATCACTGGACCCCCGATGATGGTGGGTTCAAGGCCGGGATAACTTCACCAACCCTACCACTTGGACCGGCGCATATGAAGCTCGCTCCAACGGACTGTTCGTCGACGAAAACCATGGACATGACGAAGGTGGTCGGATGAGATGAGAGAGAGAGAGAGAGACAGTGAAAAGGGTGGAATCAGCAGAATGCAAGAATGCAGGCAAGATATGGCAGACTGTGGTTAGCAGGAGAACGAGGCCCGGACAGTTGAGACGAAGGCAGAGTGAATCCCACGGTGAACTGAAAAAGAATTCATCGTAAGCAGCATCCTCGAACCCACTTGAAACTATTACTCTACTGACATCTGACCTCTGATCTCTTTCACAGGCCAAGAGGCGACAGACGCGGCATCCCAGCAGAGGCAGAGCAGAAACAACGATAATCTCATGCTGCTTCACAGAGTCGGAGACAATGCTACAGTAGTAGTCAAGCGTGAGGAACTATCCTGAAGTGCGGCGTAGAAAACCACCACTTCAGCTCAACATCTGTGACGAGATAAGACGGAATGTTGATTAGAACATGGTCGACCAGGAAATGCCGTCGGAACTGGCACAGCCGTGATGCATCAGTCCATGACCCTCTCAGCCATTCTTGTGCGCAGTCTTATTTTAAGCGGTGCAACGAGGCTTTGCGGTCAATATTAGCAACAGCCTCACGTGCATCCGTCCTTGAGTTGACGTCTTGTGCATCGGGAGCCGAGACGCCCAGCGTTGAGTTATACGAGGTTCGCACCAGTTGTACTTGCCCTGTTGAGTTGTGCGCGTGCACTGTGCGCGAATAATTCGGATCGGAACAGCGCCCAGGTGCACAAATCGCGCCGGAAAAAGGGGCCTGGCTGCACATCTCGGCCGGCAACTCGTAGCAGCGTCGCCTATGAGCCCCTGTGGAGATGGTCCCTTCCGCCTACAGGGATGAGTGGGCGCGCCTAGCCCACGGCACGCGGCCGTGGCGGCCGGCCTCAGCCACTCACAGCGCAGGTCCGGGAAATGCATGATTGTCCCACAGGGAAACTCGCGTATTCGCGTATACCATTCCCACCTGGTTTGCTTGTCCCTGGCGACAGTGACGCTGTCTAAACCCGATACAGCGCAGGGAGCGACGACTTAGCCTTCGACGGCATCTCGTTTGCCCGTCAGTGTGTCTTCGACCCAATTCGCCAAGTCCACTGCGGGAGTCATGATTCAGATTGCGAGCAGCAATTTGGCCCCGACAGCATATCCCACCTGGGAAGTCGCCATTATTCTCCCTGGAGCCTGGCTGTCCTCCGTATTCGTAACTGCCTGTTCCAGTCAGTGCGGCCACGGAGTCCAGCTGCTGGGATTCCCGAGTTACTGTCTTGTGCGCGGCGGCTCCGTTTTCGACCGAACGCAATCTTCACCTCGACATCAACATACATACCGACCTGTTCTTCATACTTCTTCAGCCTTCTGTTCTTCATTCACACCTAATTCTTGCTTTCAAGCTTCACTCATTGTAATTCTATTTACCCTCCCTGTTGGGCGGCAACCTTCCTCCTCGATTCTACGCCGAGATTGCTCGAACTTTTCACCTGGTCTGCCTTTCAGACCCACGCCGCGACCAATATTTCCCATGCAGTGTTGATAGATTGCCACCAACATGACGAGTCTGGTAAATTATGACCGGAGTCGTCGAATGTCTGGCGCGTCTCCTCAAAGCCCAGCAGCAGACTATCCTTACAACGACCGAACATTTTCTGCTGGTGGGGGGCCCGTAGTCCAGGATAGCGGGGATGAGAACAAGGAGATCCGGCACCTTGCGCGTCAATATTCACGGGCCTCAGGTACAGAAGTGCCGTTCCATCCATTCGACGAATCGATCGCCGGCACCGAAATCGATCCCAATTCGGACAATTTCAATGGCAGGGCTTGGACGAAAGCCATGCTCAGGCTGCAGAAGCAGTCCGGCCAAGAAAATGTCGGTCGAACCGCTGGCTTTGCTTTCCGGAACCTCTCAGCCTTCGGCTATAGCAAAGGCAGCGATTTTCAGAGGACCGTCGACAACTATCCTTTTGCCCTGATGGATATGGCACGAGGTCTTCTCGGCCACAAAGGCCATCGCGTGGACATTCTGCGGAACTTTGAAGGCGTTGTGCAGCCTGGCGAAATGCTGGTTGTGCTGGGACCTCCGGGGTCCGGTTGTTCTACATTTTTGAAGACCATCACGGGCGAAACTCATGGCTTCAGCCTCAGCGACGACTCGTACATCAACTATCAGGGCATCAGTTACAAGCAAATGCACAAGGATTTCAAAGGTGAAGCGATCTATACGGCTGAACAAGATGTTCATTTTCCCATGATGACTGTGGGCGACACACTCCTGTTCGCGGCCCAGGCTCGGACGCCCCAGAACCTGCAGTTACCCCAAGGTATCACCAAGAAAATGTATGCCGCGCACCTGCGGGATGTGGTCATGGCTACTTTCGGCATCAGACATACCGTCAACACCAAAGTGGGCAATGACTTCGTCCGGGGCGTCAGTGGTGGTGAGAGGAAGCGAGTTTCCATCGCAGAGGCAACTCTCAGCAACGCGCCGTTGCAGTGCTGGGACAACAGCACTCGAGGTCTTGATTCGGCGAACGCCATCGAATTTTGCAAGACCCTCCGGACGTCGACGGATCTGAACCAAACCACTGCCGCCGTCGCCATCTATCAGTCTCCGCAGAGTGCCTATGACTATTTCGACAAGGTCATTGTCCTGTACCAAGGCCGGCAGATCTACTTCGGGCGGACCACTGAAGCTCAGAAGTATTTTGAAGACATGGGCTTTGAGTGTGCAAAACGCCAGACAGTCCCCGACTTTCTGACCTCGATGACCAATCCGATTGAGCGACTGGTCAAGAAGGGATACGAGTCGCAGGTGCCCCGTACACCCGACGACTTTGCCGAACGATGGCAGAACAGCGAAGCACGAAAGAGAATGCTGGAGGAGCTCGACGCATTTGAGGAAACAAATCCCATTGGGGGCCCCAATCTTGAAGCTTTCCAGCAATCTCGTCGCATCCAGCAGTCCAAGGCCCAGCGCAAGTCCTCCCCCTACACGCTTTCCTACAGCAGCCAAGTTAAGCTGTGCGTATGGAGAGGCTGGAAGCGACTAATGGACGACCCTGCTATTACCCTGACACAACTGTTTGCAAACTGCATCAACGCTCTTGTGGTCTCTTCACTGTTCTACGACTTGCCGACGACCAGCGATTCTCTGCGGGCCCGAAGCTCCCTCGTCTTCTTTGCAGTGCTGCTGAATGCCTTCGGCAGCGCCCTGGAAATTCTGACGCTGTACGCGCAACGACCAATTGTTGAGAAACACCAACGGTATGCACTCTATCACCCTTCGGCCGAAGCGTTTGCATCGATGTTGTGTGACATACCTTCGAAAGTCCTCAACACCATCGGATTCAACTTAATTCTCTACTTCATGACCAATCTGCGTCGCACACCTGGGGCCTTTTTCTTCTTCCTCTTCATGTCCTTCGTCTTGACACTCACAATGAGCATGTTGTTTCGGTTCATTGCCTCAGTGTCAAGGTCTTTGGTGGAAGCTTTGGTCCCCACAGCCATCTTGATGGTGTCTATTGTCGTGTATACAGGCGAGTACCTCGATGTTTGCCCCTACAATCCGGTCTGGTTGTCCTGTTGGTCTAATTAGTGCCCTAGGTTTCGTTATCCCCGTCGATTACATGCACGGGTGGGCTCGGTGGATCAACTACATCAACCCCACCGCATATGGCTTCGAGAGTCTAATGGTCAATGAATTTCACAACCGGGATTATCCATGCTCGTCATTTGTCCCGCCAGCGCCTCAATTCGGCAATGGCTCGTCAATATCCCAAATCTGCACCGTTGTCGGATCCGTTGCCGGCCAGACCGTGGTGAGTGGCGACAAGTACATTAACATCTCTTACCAGTACTATGCGTCACACAAGTGGCGAAATGTTGGCATCACCTTTGCCTTCATGATAGCCCTCTGTCTCGCATACCTCGTGGCGACCGAGACCGTCACTGCCAAAAAGTCCAAAGGCGAGGTTCTTCTCTTCCGTAGAGGACACAAACCGGCATTTCTGAAAGAGAAAGCATCCGACACCGAGTCGCAAGGTTCTGATCCTAACCTCGCCGCTCTGACGAGGAAACAAACCATCGACGAACAATTGACGCGCCAAGTCAGTGCGGTGATTCAAAAACAGACGGCCATCTTCCAATGGAAAGATGTTTGTTACGACATCAAGATCAAGGGTAAACCTCGCCGGATTTTGGATCATGTCGATGGCTGGGTTAAGCCGGGAACAATGACTGCGCTCATGGTAGGCTTGATAACAACACCCCAGGCCGGAAACAATGCTGACCTGCCATAGGGTGTCTCAGGGGCTGGTAAGACTACGCTACTCGACTGTCTCGCAACTCGCGTCACAATGGGCATCATCACTGGTGAAATGCTGGTCGACGGAAGACCACGAGACGAGTCCTTCCAGAGAAAGACCGGCTATGTCCAACAGCAAGATCTGCACCTCGAGACAAGTACGGTCCGCGAGGCCCTCCGTTTCAGTGCTCTGTTGCGCCAACCTAGAGAAACACCTCGCTCTGAGAAGATTGCTTACGTCGAAGAGGTTATTAAACTCCTAGACATGCAGGAGTATGCCGATGCCGTGGTGGGTGTGCCTGGTGAAGGTAGGTTGAGCTCTTCCGATATCCTTCTATACCTATTTCGCCGATTAAGGCAGGACTTCCATATGCACTGCCGGGAAACTGACTTTCGGACGCCACAGGTCTGAACGTCGAACAGCGCAAGCGGCTCACGATCGGAGTCGAGCTTGCTGCGCGGCCCCAGTTACTGCTCTTCCTGGACGAGCCTACCTCAGGTCTCGACTCTCAAACGTCTTGGTCCATTCTCAACCTTCTCGAGAAACTCACCAACGCTGGTCAAGCTATCCTCTGCACCATCCATCAGCCATCAGCGATTCTGTTCCAGAGATTCGATCGACTATTGTTCCTTGCTGCTGGTGGCAAGACCGTATACTTCGGACCAGTTGGCAAGGACTCGAACATCTTGATCGACTACTTCCAGAGAAATGGTGCTCACGATTGTCCCCCTGGCGCTAATCCAGCTGAATATATGCTCGAGGCTATTGGGGCCGCGCCTGGGTCCCACTCAGACATCGATTGGTTCCAGGTCTGGAGAAATTCGCCCGAGTACGAGGCAGTCCAACGAGAACTGCAGCAAATGAAAGATGAGAGATCCCAGCTGGTAGCTCCCGTGGCAGCGAACAAGACCGAGTACTACGAATTTGCAGCACCCTTCTGGCAGCAGTACTTGGAGACCCAGAAGCGAGTCTTTGAGCAGTACTGGCGCACCCCGACGTACATATACTCGAAGCTCATCCTTTGCTGTCTTACCGTACGTTGCCAGCTTTTGAGATCTGGATTGTTAACGTGCTGACTTTGCGGAATAGGGCCTCTTCATCGGTTTTTCACTCTTCAAAGCTCCAAACACGCAGCAGGGACTCAACAATCAACTCTTCGGCATTTTCATGCTTCTGGTCCTCTTCTCCCAGCTCGTTCAGCAAATTATGCCCTTGTTCGTCACACAGCGCAGTCTCTACGAAGTCCGTGAGCGACCGTCGAAGACATACTCGTGGAAGGCATTCATGCTGTCGAACATCCTCGTTGAGCTTCCCTGGGCGGCCTTGGGTGCGGTTATTTTGTTCTTCTGCTGGTACTATCCTATCGGACTCTATCGAAATGCAACCTATACGGACGCCGTGGCTTCACGGGGAGCAACGCAATTCTTGTTTGTGTTGGAGTTTATCCTGTTCAGCAGCACCTTCGCACATCTGATGATTGCGGGAATCTCGACGGCTGAGACGGCGTCGAACATTGCCAACGTCCTGTTCTCGCTCTGCCTGTTGTTCAACGGTGTTTTGGTCGGTCCCAAGGCTATGCCCGGATTCTGGATTTTCATGTACCGGGTCAGGTACGTTTTTATCACTGTCCCCATGTGTTGCACCACTCGCTTACCTTTTTGACTAGCCCCTTCACATACCTTGTCGGAGGCCTTCTCAGCGTCGGCGTCGCCCATGCTCCTGTCACTTGTGCCGAAGCAGAATACCTCCGCTTCACCGCTCCGTCTGGCCAGACTTGCGGCGAATACCTCGAACCTCTCATTTCCGCCGCGGGAGGCTACCTCCTCGACTCGCGCAGCAGCAACTGTGAGTTCTGCACCATCGACAACACCGACACTTTCTTGTCTCTTGTCAGCATTTCCTTTTCAAATAGATGGCGGGATTTCGGGATTTTGCTTGTTTACATTGTCTTTAATGTCTTTGCTGCGACGGCAATATATTGGTTGGCGAGAATGCCCAAAGGGAAGAAATTCCAAGGCAAGGATAAGAAAGCAGATTCTGCCTTGGTGAAGACGGAGAGTAATTTGTCTGGTGCTGAGAAGCGCGAGGTCCTTGGGCTTGGGGAGAAGGGCGTTGCTGTCCTCGGTGGCCGTTCATCACCAGGAGACTCCAGCTCCTTTAGCGACCGGACCCAGGGCGAGAGGCAACAAGAGCCTGGCATCGCTAGGGAGGCTGTTTCGGCGGATGAGCAACGACAACAGGAGAAGAGGTACGAGCCTATCGTGGCCTCAAAATCCGACAAGGACGAGGAGGAAGGTTCTTCGACACCGGAAAGACCTACCGCAGAACGCTTCGTTACTGCACCGGAGTTGTGAGAAGTGGTACAAGTCGAGTTGAGTTGCTCGCGGGTCTGCGTGTACTACTATTCGAATCTGGTGGAATTAGAAAGGTGGTAATCTCTTGCTGGGCGACAAGGAACACAAGATAGACGTGTTAGATGAGATAGATGGGTTGCAAGACTAAGGGTTAGACAAAAATCCCCTCTACTCAGTCCTGGGTGAAAAGATGGATAATCTCTCACGAGCATTGACAGTCGTATAGGCGGCAAGTTTTGTCTGTACCAGTAACAGTACGGAGCGATAATTGATGAGGCAAGCGCACGAGGCCTGACAAGGCTACGAGGTGGCCAATCAACGACTGCCCCTTGTCTTCAATACAAATCCGGGAGTATCTACGGAGTAGCTCGAGCTGTTTCCTCTCCTGCTATTCACCAACAATTCACCCATCCCCTACTCTCCCTATCTCTGCGACTGCACTCGTAACATAAGGTCCCTGTACCTGTCCTCATTCAGCTATTCAGGATCACCGTGTCCTCAACGCTTCGACCGTCCGCACCTCAATCACTCAATTCAATACAATTTCCATTCAATCTCATTTCATCTCATCTCATTCCGCCGCGACCTCACCGGACGCTCTCGACCCCGTCGAAATCCTACGATCTGCGAAATACCGTTACCCCCCCTTGCAGGCAAAGATGATCACCGATTCACAACTCTACTCCCTCGCCATCTTCCTCGGCAGCGCCGCAATGCTGCTCATCGTGCTGTACCACTTCCTCGAAGTCAACGCCCAGGATGACGAGGTGAGCTCCGACCTCAAGGACGAGAAGGCCGGAGTCGGCGCCGTCAAGCCTGTGGGATTAGAATCTTCGTGAGGGAGATGTACTAGCACATGGCATAACATAACCGTCGTAACATAACGTAACATCACGGTCACTTATGGTCATTTGAGGAGGTGCAAGAACGGAACGAACGGGCCTTTCTATCGATCGTATCGTATCGTACGGCATATCGTACGGCAACGGCAAATGAAGAGGGAGGTCATCCGCGTGGAGCAGAATCACATGAGTTGGAAATGGGAGAGATTCAGGACCCAGACTTGGATGGCACTCGAAACACCAGGGTCAGGAAGAGCCAAGCAAGCAAGCAAGCACCTTGGATCACCTGTCTCGCGAGCGCTCTCTATCTCTCTCTCTCTGGTTTCTTCTGTTTCGTCGTGTGGTATCTCGAGAACGGGCGCAGTGCATACAGTACATATCACGCACTACCAAGTCAGTGCAGTGCACTGCGGTGCGGCGGTAGTGGTAGGGCGAGAGCGGGAGAGGGAGTGGGAGTGAGACCGAAATGAGGATTCCAGAGTCAAAACCTATCCATGCAATGCACGCCGCACACCCATCTCAAGGGGAGTCAAGTCAATCCAAGCCAGATGCAGCTCAAGGCAGTCAAGCCGAATTCAATGACCCAGCCAGAGAAGAGCTCAATCACGCTTGTGGCGTCAAAAGTCGACCTGCCCTGCCTGCCTGCCCGCCAGCCAGCCAGCCCAAACAGAACCAGCGAGATAGAGAGAGAAAGAGAGAGATGTACCACCCAGATCTAACAGGCGGGAACACGGCGTTTGAAGCGGTGGTGATTCAAGACATGAGAGTGAGACCGAAATGAAAGTGAGACTGAGAATGAGAGTTAGAATAGACCTGAATTTATGAATATAGTTGCGTGATCTTCAGGTTCAGGTTCAAGTTCAGGTTCAAGTTCAGATTCAGGTTCAGGTTCAGGTCAGGTTCACGTCCATGTTCATGTTTGATACTTGAGAGCTGTCCGTGATTTTAAGATCTGTGACTCACAATTACGGAGGTCATCTTTTTATGTGATCATTAATTTCGCTTGTCATTGTCCGCCATGTCAAAAACGACTGGCTGCTCTGGTATCATCTTCGTCTCGACCTCATCTCAACCTCAGTTTGTTCTTGATCACAACTCACGGAACAGCTCGTTCGTGAATGGTACTCACACCGGGTCGGCGGCGTAAAAGCTTCAACGGTTGCCAAGTTGCCTTTAAAGAGACTCCGCTGGTGTCGCACTTCTGATGCTGGAATGTCTCCGCCCATCAATAATCCCCTTCCACGACTCGCTGGATACCCGGATTCTGGATCAGTGTGGCTCTTCTCTCCTCGGTGACAAGGATACAACCTCCTCTGTCAATCCCTGGCCCGATCTTGGCCTTCCGAGCAGACATGGCCTTCAGAGTCTCTTCGGCGACGGCCCTCGGGTTGCTTTTCTCCTGCCGATGGGTCTTGATGAAGGCTTTCTGCGCCTGTTCTTCGTTATTCTGGCGGTCCGCCTTGAGCAGACGCATGGTATCTGCCGGAAGATCTTCTTGCGTAGATGGGTTTGTAACGTCCGGGGTGGTGACTCGGCCTTCCGGGTCGGTGAGGAAACGCGTTCTATCCTGGAGGACGGTCTGAGGATCTGTGTGAGAGAATGTTCTAGCCACTGGTACAGGACTTGAGCAGGGTGGTGTTGAAGGTGCAAGTGAGGCAGGGTTAAATGAGAATTTCGACACGTCAAATGGGAATGACGCCCGCTTCTGTGTTTGCTTACCGATGTGCTTGAGTGAAGGGCCATACCCAAGTTTCTGCGCGACCTCCCTCAGATGGGCTTCTTCAATGTGTCCCAGCCAGTCTCCACGGGTGTGAAAGATCTGTGAGGGTCCGAGTTTGCCGTCCTCATCTTCAACCAGGAGTTTGCACTTTTTCCACCAACAGATGTAGCCATTCTGCTCCTTTAGCAGTTCGCTCGTGGGATGATGCACTTTTGAGACATGGTTTCGTATGGTTTCGAGATTGTGGAGGTGTGCTTGACACCCTTTCCAGCGACACCTGAAAACTGGATTGATTGGCGACATAGGTTTTGGAGGCACGCTGATTCCCATCTGACTGATCTGCGCGACAGCTCTCTGCCCGGCTTCAGACGCAGGGTGAATGATTTTAGACCCAGGAGGGCGACCCCTTCGCTTTCCACTTGTGTACAGACCCGCAGCCTCCATCTTCTTCGCAGAACTGGTGGATGGCACAATAGTCGGTGTCAGTTGTGTAGAGGCACTCCGCGTAAATCGCTTGCGCCCCGAGGCAGGGGTCTCATCGAAGGGAACGACACCATTCGTTTTCCGCTTCTGAGGTAGGACTGAGTTGGGCGTCGAACTGCGAGGACGTTCAGGCTCCCGTGGCGGTCGACCACAAGCGCGCCGCACGATATGAGACGGCCCCAAGTCGGTCTTTACCTGCAGCGGTGACGTGGGCGATCGAGCTTTGTCTGATTCAGGCTTCTCTTCCGGACGATGAGCTGGGGCCGACACACGGTTCGTAGAGGGCGCAGGCACTTTGCGCTTGTCCGAATCTGGCAAGCTTGCCGGGCGCGCCTCGGCGCCAGGAGCACCAGCAGCAGCAGCAGCTTGTTGTTCGAGCTTGGGAGGTTGAATACCGCGGTGTCCCCATCCAAATCGCGGTGGTCCTGTTGGAACATCTGCGTAAGGGACTTGGGGCACTGGGGGTCCTCCTGGGTCTATTGCATCCCATTCAAATGTGCTCAGGTCGGAATCGATTTCGATATACTTCCCTAACAGACCTGCCAAGTGGGCATTGAGCGGGCGCTCAGTGGGATGTCTGCCGATAGCAATAAGGAGGTCCCGGGCCACCGTTTTGGCGTCGTAACATGTCTTGCGCAGGGCTTCTGCTTTGTTGACTGGTTTGGCCAGGCACTTGAACGGTCCCTGCTGCAAGGGTATTGGTGGGGGTATCCGCAATGCCCGACCCGGCTGGTGCGCCGGAAAATGTGGAAGTGGTGTGTAACTCCGTGGATGCGGAGACTGATTTGAATTGTGGCGGAAAGGCTGCTCAAGCACTCCGCTTTGCGCGGGCAACAGATCTTCGACTGGAAGTTGTCCCAGGGCCTTTCGTCGCTGTGGATCTGTTATGATCGGGAAATTTTCGTACCGAAATAATGGATGAATTGTCGGGTCTGGTGACGGACTCGCGACCCGTGCCTGCTTCTTGGACATCACGTAGTCCTCATTGTCACTCAAGGCTGTAAGATCGACCACCTCTGAGAAATCGCGTTTGCGAGCATTAGCCTCTTTCGAACCTGGCGGCGGCTCAGGTCGTGCGAGAGGGTGAGGTTTAGACAGTCTCGGTCGTGGCAACTGTAGTGCGACTGTATTCGACTGAGGGGGGCCGAAGAGCGGCTTCTCAGACTTGAAGACTGCCTCATCCACTCCTCTGTTGATAGCTTGAGACCTGGTATTACCTGCATTGCCTTGGGCTCGAGTTGACACCGTTGCGGCCGTGGATGGCACCGTGAGGTCTTGCAGTGGGATCGAAGGAGTTGCATCGCGCTTTAGTGCAGGACTGGAAGGTGTGGGATCCGGCTTGCCCGAAGGTCCATTAAGATAGGGCACATTGCTCAGAAGTTGTCTCGCAAACTGACCCCGATGGAATTTCAGACCTTTCTTCTCAAGCAACTCGCACAGATCAATATAGCTCGGGTTCTGCTCAAGCATGCCGTCTATGTCCGGGGGTGTGATAGTAACTAACGCATTTTCCGGCACTTCTTTGAGCGCCTTGATCGCAGCGTCTGCAAGAGCCTTGCGCTTGTCTTCGGGCCAGATTGTTCCAACTGCAGGACCCTTTGGAGGAAGTCCTTGAGTAAGCGGACGCATAGCTTCAGCTGCTAGGCCTGCTGCTTCGACTTGAGGTTGCAAAGGTGGAGCAGGGGTTCCTTGGTTAGAAGCAGTGGGCGACTGATTAGCTACAGCTGGCTGAACAGCTACAGGTTGAGCAGGTGCAAGTTGAGCAGGTGTAGATTGAGCAAGGACAAATTGAGCAGGGCTCGGTGCAGGAGGCTTTGGGACCTTCGTTCGGATACGTCGCTCAGCAGGAAAACGACCGAGATCAGGGAGATTTTCTGGGTTGTCTAACACTGCAACCCTGTATCCATTCATCTTAAATGGCCGTGGCACGTTAGGAGTGACGTCGGAATCGTGAGATGTCTTGACCCCAGAGGGCATCGCAGTCATAGGTTCGACCGTAGGCTGATGTTGCGGTCCAGATTGGACCGGGGCTGTCATACTTGCAGGAGGGACAGTTTGTTGTTGGTTCATCTGAGGAGATGGCGACTGTAGAGGTACGGCACTCGCGGGTCCAGAAACCGACTTGCGCATGTCGTCCCATAGCTTCTGAAATAGGCCAGGATCTTTACTCCGAAACTCTTTCATTTTTTCCATCATTGCTTTAAGCTCTAATGCCATAGTCGTTTCACTGGCCGTTCCGTCCGTTGCTGCATCGACGGGTTGGGGACATATTATACCAGCAGATTCACTTGCAGGCGGATGAACACTTCCGACAGGTTTGGATCGTTTCTGGTGTGACTTTGGAGCTCTCTTCGCTGTAGTGGCTTTTTCTTGATTTGCTTTCTTCTCGACCCCTACCATAGCCGCCTTTTGCGCGCTTCGTTTTGCAGCAGCTTCCTCCTCTGTTTTCTTCTTGATTGCCTCGGTCTCAGCTTGAGCTGCTGCTTCCCGGCGTCTCCTCTCGTGCTCTTTGGCGTAAGGGTTGAAGACTTGCGTTGGGTCGATGTAGTTTGGCATGGCCTGCTGCTCGTCTGCTATCGGATACTCTTTTCGGATTGGCTCTTCCATTGACGGAGTTATGAGGCTTGAGATTGCATTGACTGGCTGAGCATTATTCGGTGACGTTCGTGACGAGGGATTTCGAGTCGACGCTTCGCCGTGCTGGCCAGATGTTGCAGGCCGTGCTCTATGCTGGTATGCTTCCGTACTTTGCGCGCTCTGAGTTGATTGTGGGGGGCTTGGTGACTGACGTCTCTGTGATCGGGACGGGACGGGCTGAGGTGGATAGTAAGGTGAGGCAGACCTTGCAGTGACGGACTGTTGAGCCGAAGTGGAACTTTCCACCACAGGTGAGGTCGATGAATGGCCTCCCATTGTATGTGTAGCTTGTGCAAAGCCTGCACTGACTGCACCGGCGAGAGCTGCTGCCGCTGTGGATAAACTATTACCTTGGTGTTGTGACGAAGATGTGCCATTCGAATAGGGGTCATATGAAGGGGTCGTGCTGTGTCGGAACGTGCTCTCGGTGACAGCCGGCCACTGGGCGCCATCCGGCATATGCGAAGCAGAAGACATAGAGTATCCACAGCCTGACAGCGCATTCGACCGTGGTACATGCTGGCCATATCTCTGTAACTCTGCATCGTCTAGTCCTGAAGCATACGCAAGACTATTCAATCCCTGAGTACTCTCGCTCGTTGAAGTTGAGGTGTTGTAGTAATTATGCGCTGAACTTCCTGCTGCAGCCTGGGCCGCGTAATGTCTAGCTTGAGTCCACTTATCTGAAGACGTGCTCCGGGTGGTCACATCTTTGGAGCCACCGTTTCCATAAGTCGATTGCTGGCGCGAGCCACTGGAATAATCCTGTCGCTGAGACTGATTTGATCCATCGTACCCTAAGGAGTTGTACCGGGACTGTCCGACGTCACCTGGATATGATGCCTGCTGTTTCGTGTACTGGTGTGTCGAGGTGGGTTGTCTGGGGGTGTTGTACGAGTCGTCCAGGTTCCGCTGGCTTTGGTTGGAATCATAGTAGTTCCTATAATTATGGAGGGGCCCATACGACATTGCGGTCCCCTCTCTTCAGAAAGACACGGCGACGGCCAGGGAGCCACAACCATCGTACCAAAGATCTCTCCCAGTCTTTATGGTTGTGCGCGATCGGAGGGGCGAGGACGGGTTCGAACGGTAGCTAGAGGAAGATCGAGGTTGCGCTTCGGTACGCAACAGGTCATCTTGGCTCTGCCGCGCGCATTTCTTGGGCGCATTCCGAACGATGGTGGTGACCATTGACGGCGGTGGACACCTACGGGTGCGCTCGTCGCAACCGACGCGCTGAAGCGAAGGTGGAGTCCTATGTAAAGCCGAATTGCAGGTTCTGCGTCATACTGTCAAGTGATCCGCCGGAGCACAGAACTCTTGGCACCCATGCTCGCACTTGCCGAATTTCGAAAATTCCACAGATTGAGGTTTGCGATCTCGTTGTCGCTCTACCATTCCTTTTACACCACCACAACCGCAGCCATGACAAAGTCGAACCATGGTACGAGCTACTCACACACTACTGTATCGTGTAATGGAAATCAAATTAACACAGTGGCAGGCATCGCCTCATCGAGGCGCAAGTCCCGCAAACTCCATTTCGGAGCCCCCTCCAGCATCCGTCGAACAATCATGAGCGCGCCCCTCAGCAAAGAATTAAGAGAAAAGCACAACGTAAGGCTAAATCGTCTCTCAAGTGACACTCCAGGAGAATAGGTTCTTACAAGCTTCTCCATGTATCTAGGTTCGCTCCATCCCCATCCGCAAAGACGACGAAGTCACCATCGTGCGAGGCTCCAACAAAGGCCGCGAAGGCAAAGTCACCTCCGTCTACCGCCTGAAATACCTCATCCACATCGAGCGAGTTTCACGAGAAAAGTCAAATGGTCAATCCGTGCCCATCGGCGTCCACCCCTCGAAGGTTGTCGTAACGAAGTTGAAGCTTGACAAGGACCGGGAGAAGATCCTTGAGAGGATCGGTAAGGGCAGAGAGGCCGTCAAGTCGAAGGAGTCGAAGGAGTAGCCGACAAACGAGTAGGCTGGTGAGTCGTGAATAATGACCAGTGGTGTCCGCCAAAAACAAATCAAGGCATTGGACGGCACGCTCAGCTGGCTTCCAGCGCGGGAATGCTCGAAACGAGGAGCAGCGGCAACACAACACCCACGCAAGTGGATGATAGAAGCAGAGCATCCTACATACCCCGGCGCGGATGGCCTCAATGAAAAACATCAAGTTGTAAAGGTCGAAATTCCTTTCAAGTCCTCTTGAGAAACACAGCAGGCTGGGCCAGTGTTGGCTCGCCAGCTTGATGTACGGTTGGGCACGAAGCGAACACCACGAGACCGACCCAGCACTTCGCTGCTATGGCAGTTATCGTTGGTGACGCTTCCTGCTTCCCAGGCCACAGGCATTTCTCGTTCTTATTCTCCTCCTTAACCCTGCTCTTCTCAGTCCTGCCTGACGCTGCAGCCACGACGTTCTACGAGGCGACCCTCCGCAAAGTGCAACCACGTGGATCGCTCACATCTTCCCAACATGAGATTCGTCGTCACGTTGGGTTCTGCCAGTATTATCTCCTTGTCTACCTTAACCTCCTTTGGTTGCCCAAGGTATACGGCTGGCGCAGATTGACTCCTACCCATGCTCACCCATTTTTATTGAACCGAGCATGAGGCCTCGCCGGCAGACAGTCAACTAGGACACGTCCTCTGAGTTGATTGTATTTGATGGCGAGGGACATAATTCGTACCCTCCTTAGCCGATCTCCCCTTCGCTGTGGGTTTCCTTTACTGTTACTCCTACTCAGAATCCCTTGGTTCCCATGCGTACCCGAGACATCCAGTCACATTCGTCGGGTTGACTTGGTACGACTCTCCGCATCCTGTGTAAGGCAAGGTCTCCTAGGGACTCCTACAAACGTTTCCCTTCAGGTTGCTGAAATGTAGTTCAAAGGGGGCTGGGGGGAAAGATCTTGGTGGCCCCAACCCAGATTTTCGTACTTCTATTGCTGCTACTCTTACGAAACAATGCTTCCTCGAAAGACGCTTCCCATGACTAGCCGTCATCTTTCAAGCACTCACAGCACTCGGGCTTGGTTCGCGGGCTCAAAACTGCTTCTCATACACACCATTTGCGGCATTCATGATCCCACGTTCCGAGGGTTCATTCTCGGTCGGAATATCCTCACCTGTGACCTTGCTCAAATACCTGGTCAATCCCTCCTCTCCACCCTCATGCTCAGCATGGCCGCCCTGGATCTTCTGCAAACTATCCCTGATGAGGAATTCATAGTAACCTGTCGCGAAGATCGTGGCTGGAACGTTGACGAGGACCGAAATCCACGAGTACCCATTATTGTAACTGAACGCCTCGCCGCCGAAGAAAATCGCCGCCACGATACGCGTACCCAGATCTCTTGCCAGGTTGGTGGAGAGGGTGTTGCCTGTTTTGGTGTCGTTGGTTAACACGATATACCTCCACGGTCGCGCCGATCCAAAGGAAGCGACGCCAGGCCATATATGGACTTACCGGCAAACCCCCAAACCATGGCCGCATAGGCAATGCCAATGGTGTAGGGCGCGCTCGTAGGGCTCACAAAGGGATTCGCTGGGTCCAAGCACGCCCAGATCACGATTCCAATGTAAGAATCGACAAAGAACTCCTGGAAGAACAAGTACCCTTGGTTTGTCTGGTCGGGGTTCGGGAACGCGCAGAAGATGCTGGCCACGCCGCCGTTGTAGACGGACGTGCCGTGGGTTTTCAGGTCGATGGCCTTGGCCGCCTGGATCTGCGGCCAGTAGCAAGCCATGAGGAAGAGCCCGGCCATGAAGGCGCCGAAAATCTGCGAGAAGATGTAGTGCGGGACTTTGCGCCAGGGGAAGCCTGTAATCGAGGCATGTGGATTAGAGATGGACGGTCAACGGGGCTCTTAAGGACGCCGTGCAACTCACCTTGCCAGATGGCGAAACACAGCGTGATAGCCGGGTTGAAGTGCCCACCACTCACGGGTGCACAAGTCTGCGAGTTTCAGGCTTGTTAGCGTCGCTTGCCGGAAGTCTAAGACTAAGTCTGAAGGTCCATAGACGCTGTGGACCTAAGCAAACGGGGAAAATTGCCTCCAGGTGTCTCGATCTGACTTCGCAGGCCAAAGCTGAGGCGGACTTACGATAATGGCAAACGCGATACCAATGGCAAAGGCCCAACCGATTTGGAACAGAGACCCAAAGACCGGAACTCCCACTTCGGCGCCCACTCCATTGGTGGTAGCTAACGTGAATGAGGCGACTGAAGCAATGCCAGGGAAGACGTAGAAGAAGACGCCGGTCCTGTCTTGTTGTCAGAGCCGATCGTTTGAATTGCAGCTGAGATGGTAGTGGATGAACCTGTCACCTCGCCCGCCACAGGTTCAGTTGTTTGGCAATCACGTACGCTTCTGCCATCATTTCCCGCAGGATGCGAGGTCGCTCGTGCTCGAAATCGAGCTTCCTTTGCGACACCGGCTTCGGCGCCACAACGTGCCTCGTGACATGACGCTGCAAGACATCCGAGATACCCAACTCGATGTCGTTGGTGTGCTGGCGAACCAGCGGATCCGGGTGACTGTTTGACATGCTTCTTTTGCGTGTGTTCTTGTGAGATGGGTGGCTATTGATCAATATTCAGAGACCCGGGGTTTCTGGGGCGGAGAGACCTGGGGAAGAGGGCCAATCTGGGGAAAACGTGGTGGAAGAGTGATCAGGAGAAATATAGCAGAGTCTGGGGTGAACGTCCCCTTGATGTACGCCCACAGGCCATGATCTTGACCTCGGATCGTGGCCACATCGAGTTTCCGCAAAAAACTGTGATTCGTGACCACCTAGGTATTGATCATCCCGGACCTACCGGTGATGCATGAACGTGCGCTCTCATGAGAAGCGGGCTGAAAAGTAGAGGTCCACAACCCGCTATAGGTAGGTCCCAGTGAGTGGACGCAATTACGCACAGATTCGCAGCAAACGTACGCCTCTTTCAACGATGACTCGTGCACCCGCCCCTGGTTGTTGCTGGGAGAAGGTCCTTGGACGTCATAATGAAGCGTAGAAGCGAGTCGGCAGGTCAGCACGGGTTTGCCGATTAGGTGCCGACATGCACAATAGCGTTGTGCTTGACCCAGACACAAGCTTCGCAAGCCGCGCCACATCGCGTGATGGACGAATCACTTTCCTGGCCGGAGAGAGACCCTTGTGGAAAGAAGCATGTAGTGCTCGGCCACGACTCGAAACAGGCGCACGGCAATCGGCTTGACTAAAACACAAATAGGAAGGTCAACGTATTTTTGGAGCCCAATTGTTGGGTGTGGTTGGGAAACCGGGTCGTCAGTCTGCTGGGACGAGCAGTCGGTGTATCTCAGGGTTGGAAGGTCGGAACGTGGCAAGGGCCTCGGCGAGCAAGCAGTGAAAAAATGCGTCATAGGTTGCTAGTGCCTGGTGGTGCTTGTGAAAATGTGGGAGACCAGCGTTCCAGTCTACGAGTACCCCGTACCTCGGAGGAACACGCAAGCATCAGTCCGCCGGGGTCCTCATGTGGAGAAGAAATCACCTTTGTGCACTCCGTAGTATACAAATGATTCGAGGCGTGCCGCTTGACCCGCTATGTCCAGCACATGGTTGCATCAAAATGTCTTTTCGACGGCTCTGTCATACCCGAGACGGCGACGTGCACTGCACCCGATTTCCCTCCATAACGGCTCCTCTCCGGTCGTGTCCGTGTTTGCGGGCGACACCGAGCCTGTATTGATGCTCATGCATATTGCTCTGGCAGTAGTACTTATCAGGCGATACTTCGCGAGCCACACTACCTCGTATCACAGAAATGGAAGCGGCTAGCTGACGGGTTGTTACAGCCAGTGATGACGTACGCTGGTGCTAACATACATAAATTTGTACCGCTTCGAGACCGATATGTTGAAAGTGGGTGAGTATCAATCAACTGTTCCAACGACGATTGCTTCGAGGACGGCTGTCCAGCAACTTGCCAATAATGTGATATCTGGCAGTTTTGTCAGGCCCTGATCTGATGCAAAGCGACCCTGCTCACCCGTAGGCACGAGTGCGATACAGACATACAGTCCTACCGCTGGCCAGAATGCGGTCGTGGTCAACAGGGGTAGTCAACGAGGCCCTTCTCCAGATCTTTCTTACCACTTCTCGACTGCAGGTCTTATGTCGATCTCGTTGGTAAAGCAAGTCCGCGGCTGGGTGTGCAAGTACCAGTAAGCGTCGGCAATGGCCTCGGGTTTGATCTTGGCCTCCGGATGGTCGAGCTTGTAATGGGCGAATCTCTCGATATCAATAACCCCATCAATGATGGCATGGTTCACGTGGATGCCCTTCGGACCAAACTCCCTTGCCAGCGATTGTGCCAAGGCCCTCATTGCGAATTTGCCGCTAGCGAAAGATGCGCAGTTGGCAGAACCCTTCATCGCTGCAGTCGCGGACGTGAAGATAAGCGTGGGTGGGTATTCGGCATCCGTGTTCTTGAGCATAAGTGGCAGGACTTCTCTCGAGAAGAGGAATGCCCCTCGTCTGTCGGGTGTTCACCAAAGTCAGCATAAGCTCGTTGCCAGTATACTGGACTTTGGAACCTGGTGCCGCCCCAACCTACCCGTTGGCTGCCCATCCAGCCTCAAATTCATCTTCAGACAGCTCGAGGAAGGGCTTCCTGATAAATTTGCCTCCCACGTTATATATCGCAGCCGCTAACGGAGCTCCGCCGAATTCCTTTTCCAGTTGTTCAAACGCAGCCTTCACACTCTTGCTGTCCGAGGCATCGGTGCTGATGCCAATTGCCTTGCCGCCTGCAGCATTTATTTCTTTCGCAATGGGTTCGTAATTGTCAGGGTTTCGGGCTAGCAGGGCGACGGCGTAGTGTTTAGCGAATCGACGAGCAACCGAGGCACCGCTATGATTTGCGTGAGTATTCGCCCTGACGCCATTGAAAGCATGGAGGCTTACGTGCCAGCTCCAACACCTGCGATAACAGCCCAAGCTTTTTGCGACGACATTGTGAGCCAATTCAACCTCTGAACCTCACTGCTGAGCCTGTCTTGAGTGGTTTGTGCAGTAGTAACTGTCATGCAAAATTGAAGCAAGAGGGGAAAGAAGGGACGAGAGAAGCTCGCTCAATCACTAGAACAGTCAAGTCGGCGACCGAGGAGAGATGATGGTCAACGAATGACGCATATACTTGACCTTGGAATCCGATCGTTATATTCTTCTTGGGGCCGCTCAACCCCGCGATGATGTGCTCGATGTTTACAAATCTGCTCTGCGAGGCCCGATAACTAATCCCATGCGTGAGGCTCTCGAATGGTGAGCTCAGATCGAGCTTCGGCGACGCATTCATCTGTTGACCCCGCGTCTGTCGAGGTTGATTGGTGGACAAGCGAGTCGACGCGATTCCACTACCTGGTACACTCGGTAAGGTCGCTATTAATCAGCGGCACCCCTCCGTATTCCCCGTATTACAAGTACGAGTACGGAGTACTGGGTACTCATACTCGTCCAGGCATGCGTCCGAGCAATATATCTCGACCTCGCACGTAGCATGCCAGAGCTTCATGCTTCCCCGTAACCCACCTTTTTGCTGTGAGCAAACGTCAGGACCATGTGAATATGTAATGATAGTAAAAGCAAGGACTCCACAAAATAAAACTGAAGCTGGACCGGAAAAGGCCACAAGAGTGAAAGCGAGTGAAGGAGTTACCGGCTTTGGAGAACCGAATTCCGGGGCTGGTCTTACCGGCCCTGCTCGGTCCCTTTAGGGGCTGGTGGTGGCTCCCGAGCCTCCGTCTTGGTGCCTGCGGAGCCGCTTGTTTACTGGGTACTCGTGGACTCCTTCCCCGGACTCCGCTGCATTATCAATTTCAGCGACTTCTAGTGTACTATACGGAGTACATGGTCAACATCAGCGTCGATGCCTCCACAATGATACCACTGGCGCTAGGATCCCGTTCGTTCGGCATAGGTGTCCTACAATCGCTCTACTTCAGAAGCTGGCAGTATGAGTGCTCGGTCGAAGCGGAGAAATATGGCATGCACGTACTGCCGCTACAGGTACTGGATCCGAAGGCATAGCCAGATCTGCTGATGGATTCTCTATGCTGACTAGGTAAACAGAAAACGACGCTGTGACGGACAGACGCCCACATGCAGGACTTGCCGCGAGAGAGGTCTGAGTTGCGTATATCAAGATGCGCCGTCGCCAAAGTAAGACTGCGAGACGTTCAAACATCAAAGCGTGTTAAGCTTTGACAGGAGTGACAGGCATGGCATCTCGGAAGAGTATCTACGGCGACTGGAAACGGTTGAGGATGTGCTGCGGCAGCACTCTATTGCGACTGCCTCATCAGCTCGTCATGCGTTCAATCCCCTCGAGCAGTCACCGACGACCCCAACAGTTACCGATCGCGAGAGCACGTCCCGCGTAAGTGCACGGGAGCCTCAGCAGCAAGCCATTGGTTTTGAGCACTCTGCCGACAACATGAGCCGTGCGACGGACGGCCAGGCTGGCCTTGAGAACCCTGAAGTACCGCCTCTGACCATTCCTTTGGGTCACCAAACAAGCTTGAGCAGTCTCCTTACACTTCCTCAAATGCGCAGTCTGGTGGGTGACTTCCCTGAGGAGTTTGTTTTTCTAGTCGAAGAGGATCGACCGAGAGCCTTGTCGTTGCAAGACATCCTTGCGGCCCCAGGTGAGGCGAACCAGGACTGGCGCAATATAGAAAGATCCGTCGCAGATGATTGCCTGGAGCGGTATCACTCTGCCGTTCATCTATATCGGCCTCTCTTCGAGTGGGAGGGGTTGAAGTCACAATACGACAAAACAATGAGGGAGGGTCTCTCAGATAGTTCATGGTCTGCATTGTTTTTGGCTATTTTCGCTCTGGGGATCACAGCATCGGACCCCATTGACCCGACCAGACTCCGATGGTCCGGTGATGAACTGATCAAACAATCTCTGCGACTACTTTTCCCCTCCTGGGCTGCGACTTTCAGTGGAGATCTTGTTCTCTCCCAGGCCCTCGTGCTTTGTTCGCTTTATTTCTGCTACGTTGCCGAGCCATTGATGGCGTGGAGACTGGTACACATGGCTTCAACAAGCGTTCAGCAAATGTTGGTTTGGCTGCTATGCCACTGCGCCGCGTTATGGTGAACAATCTGACGAAAGTCCTCAGGCGCAAAGAGCACTTGTCCCAACAGACCCATGATGGTGTCACCAGGGTCGGTTGGACGTGTTTCTTGATTGAATGGTGCGCTTCTGCGATCCAAAGTGATGATTGAGGGCTAGCTACTGATAACATGAGGTACAAGTGATATCCTGGCCGAGTTCCATCAGCCCAGAAGTGGCATCGAACTGCTGGTGGACAAGATGCCCTTTCCGACCTACGACGACGCCACAGCATCAGAGAGCTTGTACTCGTTGGCCGACATATCAGCCAGGTCTTTGTCCAACCGCATCCACCATACCATGTATTTCACCGATGGCATATCCCTGTACATGGGTCGGTCACAAAGCTCATCTGGCACGTTGCCCGGCCATCCCGATGTGTCTCTACTGAGAGTGTGCGAAGAACTCGCTCGGCAGCTTCTGACGTGGTACGAGTCGCTACCCAACGCCATTAGACCGGATCTTTCCGGCACCTACAAAGGAAGTGGACAGGCCTGTGTTTTACGTCTCCGGTATTGGTCTGCTAGACACAACATCTATAGGCCATTTGTCATTTACGTGACCTCAAGAACCGCAGACCAAGAGGCCAGTGTGCCGACATCGGTTTTAGAGCGTTGCAAGCTGTGCCTTGCTGCAACTCGAATGTTTATTCTCTCTGCTGGGTACGTCCTCTCAGCAAGGACGCCATACACGTTCAGTACAACACAGTGGTGAGTGATATTCACTTGCATTTCCCTTTAAATCGCTAAGTGGTATCCTTGTGTGCAGCGTGGTGAGTTATGCCCTCATCCTGGCACTTGCTGCTCAGTCACCCATACTTGCGGATTCGGTCGACGACAACCTGGAACTGCTGGAGACTGCTGTTGGCCTTCTGAAGCCATGGGCTGTCTCTGGATCGGGCATCGAGTGCGGTCTGGAAATCATAAGCTCCGTATACAGAAAGCAACGCTTGCGGAGTAATCGTGGTGGACAGACCACCTAATGAACGTTCCGACTTCAGCCTCAAATACCTCTGCGATGGCAACGTCTTACCACCATTGATGTCACGAAGGAGAAACCTGTCAGGCAAGTAACTCAATCCCTCGTTGATGTGCGTAGTGGAGACTCCTTCATCATATTTGGTCTTTCCAAGTATGAAAATGGCGACTACGACGAGCCATCGCCCGGAAAGATTCGTGTTTCCACGCCCAGGACAGACTGTGCATTGACATCAAACACAGATAGTCATGAATATGAATCGATCAGATTAGCTGCCACTGAGTTTTGAAAGATTTTTGCCTGGACGAGGTTTCCTTAATCCCAACCGGCTTGGGCCTCAACGTGAGCGGGTGCCTTCGCCTTCGGCTGACTGAGCTATAGGCATCATAATTGACCTTAACGCTGGGCCTAAAGCATTCTTGTGGGCACGCGCGTTCACTTGCAGTCTTCATACGCCTTTTGCCACCATGAGCTTTTCAATAGCCGCCTTCGCTTCCTCTTCGGCCCCAAGGAAGAGCTTGCAAGCGTCTCCGAACCGTCTCTGGAGGACGGCATCCGTTTCGATGAACTTGTCAAGCTTTGCGCCGCCGTCAGCCACAAAATCCGTGTCCATTGTCGCCAAAACTCCGTCCCATCCCGGTCCTGCGAGCGGGTCGAGAGTGGCCAGAGGCTGTAAGCGGTCTGCGACGACGAATTCAGCGTACGGATGTTTAGGCTTTGTACGGAGCACTGGTGGGAGCGTGTCGGGTGTCTCCATCAGCTTCTGGAGGTTGTGCGCTTGTATGGTCACATGTTGGCAGCCTAGCTCGGCCATGGCCAGTATCTCGGCGGTATTGAAGTGGCTGTCACAGTATTGGAGCATCAGTACGTCGCTCATCATTCGATTTGGACGTTGGAATGGGTCTCCGACCAACCTTGCGATGACCAAAATCGGCTGCTCTTTGCCCGTTCGCACGTACGCTTCTGCGTAAGTCTTGAGGATGTGTATTACACGGGCTGACATGGGATGCTGCAGGAACAATGAGCACACTTTGTTTCTGTGTTTGACAAGGTTGGAAAGGCTACCTCGAGAGCCGGGTCTTCAACCAGGGGCCGCAGTGACGGGTCCAGATGCGCCGCGATTTCTGGAGCCAAGGTCAGCAACAAACGGGTGCAGATAGACCTCGAACACCTCTACTGACCATTGTAGTATGGACTGATGAAGAGACAGTTTGACTGGCTGGCTGCGATTGCTTGTTCAAGAGAAAAGACTGCCGTAGCCAGCGTGCGAATACCTTGAGCGTTGAGCTCAAGGGCCGCCGAGGCAGCAGATCCCGAGAATGGCAGCTTGATAGCGAATCGATCTCTTGAGACGCCGGCTTGTTCGAAGGCCACGGCGTACGCCAGGCATTGTTTGATAATTGCATCTCGGTCGTGAACGTGTCGGAGGGAGGTCTGAACAAGCACTCGACCCGACAGGTAGGGAATGTTTCGGGCGCAGAGGGTAATGGCCTAGAGATATGTCGAGGTGGGATCGTCAGAATTCCGAGGTGCTGGAAGCGCTTCTTACAGTTGCCGGGGCTCTGCTGCTGACATACCGCCATGTTATAGACGTGCTCCCAGCCTTGTTTGCCATACTTCTCTATCAGGTCTTCGAGAAGCGCCTTGTTCTTCGGCTCCAGCAACCGCTTCGTAATGATGGCCTGGTTGGAAGTCTCTGCCCGATTGCGGTTGGTGAGCTGAGAGCTGTCGCGAGGATCTTGGGATTGGACTCACGATTATGCGGAGTGAAAGGCAGTGATTTGATGACTTCGGTGTCGACATCGTCGACATCCACGTTGCACAGCTCCTCAAGGCGGTCGAGAAGAGATCGTGCTGCCATGGTATCAATATCCGTGTTCGCCAGACGAGGTGCAGAATGGATTGACAGCTCAGGTTGCACAATATGGGCGGGCGTCAGAGAGCATACTATGTGTTTTATGTTCTTGCACCACCAAGCGACTGCGCAAAAACGCCGAAAGACGACCCGAAGCACGGCCTGAATCTCCCGTTTCGAGCGAGGCGGTTGTCTTGCACTAAGCCAAATTCCGGGTCGAGGGCGTGTCGTTCAAGGGCCATGTCGCTCTTGGTCCAGGTGAATGTTTGCCCTTTGCAGCGTTGGCGATCAAGGCATGAAGGACGGGTTACAGGGAACACGGGGGAGCTTGCCAAGCTCGTTGTTCATCCGAGAAGGGTTACGTGTTCTTGACCCTCGTCGGCGGCCCGCCGCTCCGTCGCTGGCGGATGCAGCGGGAAAGAACAATTCAACGGGCCATCTATCGGCTATGACCGTTGAAGACGGATTGCCTAGGACCTCTCTCCGAGGGATGTGTCTCCAGAGCTGGTGATGATCAAGCCCACCTCGACAATGCGCTGTCAGATGGGTGCAACGTCCCGACTCTGAAAATGAGTGTCCCGTACCAAATCCCAATCAACACCTCAAAAGCACTGCTCATCACCTCTACCTCGACGCGTACTATCTGGTCGATTTGACTTGTACGCTCACCCGACATCATGATATCGACCGAACCTTTGGGCGAGGCCGCCACGAATGGCCACCATACCGATGCCCCGACAGAGGTCAACGCCAGGGACCTGTTCTCCCTTCACAGCAGGACCATCATCGGTATGTCAGAAACAAGAACCGCACCCTGGGCCGACCTCTGCCATCCTGGTCTCTTCTTCTACTCTCCCAACTCGCATGGCGTCGACACTCACGTTCCACTTCTCTTCTTAGTGACCGGTGCCTCCGGCGGGATGGGCCTCACAGTGGTGAAAGCGATCTTGCAATCCGGCGCCGACGTCATCGCCGTGGACCGCCACGAGGCGGCAAGCTCTGCCCACAAAGGTACGCATGAACGCACACACGCATGCTTGATCCCCCAATTTCCTGTCCTGTCCTCCCCACACCCCCATGTGCTTCACTCCCCCAAACGAGGCTGACGCTGATTTCTTGATGCGGACTTCAAGACATCCAAAGAGTAGCCCAGGAAAACAACGTCCTCCTGACATACCAGCAATGCGACATTTCCAACCTGGAATCCACACTCTCGGGTTTCGAGACGGCGGTCTCGCGTGCGCGGTACCCTCTGCGCGGACTGGTCCACTGCGCGGCCATCGGCTGGACGGGGCCTTCGATCAGCTTCCCCATCAACGAGGCGAAGCAGATTGTCGAAGTCAACTTGATCGGCACGTTGATCTGCGCCCAAGCCGCCGCCGCGCTGGTCCAGCGGCAGAAGAACGGCGGGCTCTCGGCGAGTTTTGTCCTGATCGCGAGTATGAGCGGATATGTGGTCAACAAGGTGCGTGTATATTGCCATGTGTTGAAATGCGTTGAACGTCATGTTGTTGTTGTGTATGATGGTCCACGAATACTGAGTTGCGGTGTGGAAAACGAGTTGGATTACTGAAGTTACACACGCAATCTGACTCCCCATACCGGGCGCGCACACAGGGCACACCAAACGCAGCCTACGCGGCCTCCAAAGCCGGCGTGCACCAGCTGACCCGAAACCTGGCCTCGGAATGGGGATGTCCCCAGTCCGGCGGGAATGGCGGCGGCGGCGGCGGTGGTGGCTGCCCGCCTCCTATCCGCGTCAATTCCATCAGTCCCGGCGTGATCCGAACGCCGATGACGGCCGACGTGCTCGCGGGAACGGACAACGAACGCATCTGGACCGAGGAGAGCATGTTGAAGAGGCTGTCCGAGCCCGAGGATTACAGGGGGCCCGTTATTTTCTTGCTCTCCGAAGCCAGTGCCTACGTGACGGGCGCGGATTTACTGGTCGACGGGGGTTACACGGCTTGGTGAGATTGGTGGTGGTGGTGAGTGCCAGTACGAGTACACTCCTCCTGGCCCCGGGCGGTGGCGAGTTGCCACTTCGTGTTGGGGGAACATGGGAACCTGTGGACCCCAGGGAAGTGCGGCCACGTTGATTTTCATGCCGCAATGCATCTAGGGGTATATTTGAGATCAAGATAGTTGTACTTGTCTATATAGACTCCCTAGGCCAGAGTTGAGATCAAGATAATTCTACTTGTCTATGTAGACTCCTAGGCAAAAGTTGAAAATCCGATAAACGCCCGTTACACCCGGCATAACAATGTCGTGTTTCTTAGACTCATCGGTAGTATCATCGAAGCACACACTACACGCCGTGAGTGTCGTGTGTCCTGTCTAGCTGTCACTTCAAGAATGAGGTCCTCCCCCCGCAGACAGCGGTTGGCTCATTGTGCGCTGGACTTTTCGCTCTCGTCCCGGATGCGCCACGTGAACTCATGTGTCTTGCACGCGTCTTCATAAGAGGACAGGATCCCCGCAGGCGGGCACGAGGACAAGCTTTCTCGGTCGTGGGTTCCCTCTGGATTGGACGCATTTCGTTGTGAAGGGAACACGCCGTGGGGCTCCAGAAGAGCCGCGAATTCCGTGTAGAAAGGGTCGTCGTTTGCATAGGAGAAGGAGTCTTCGTGCTCGGACGCCGGCGTTCTACCATAGAGCAGCCGCAAGTATCAGTATGTTCGTGAATCAGATTCCGCCAAGTCAATCCTCACGAGTGGCCGTGCTCAATGTCTGAGGTAAGCTACGGTAATGGGGGAGTTCATGTTGATTAACGGTGGGTTGACTCACCGCACATAGAGCGTCGGACTGCTGCCGTAGAGATCAACAAGACGGATCTGGAATCCGTCTCCACCAATGACGATCTCGTTCGAGTAGTTGATCCCGTGAAGCGTGACTGTGTGGACGAGGGAGCCCACAGCGCCGGTTCGATATTTCCTGTGTGAAAATATCCTTAGCCTCCAGCCATGCCAGTGCGATGCGATACCTAAAAGAATCAGAATCCAACAAGCGACCATGTAAGGAAGCAGTTGGGTCTTGGAAAGGTCGTGGCATCGCGTGACGTACCAGAATGCCGCCGTCGCGCGCGGGATGCGGTCGTCCCTCGGGATCTGCGAGTCATCCACTGCCATGCTCGACAGCGTCCCCGCGGGCTCATCGTGCTCCAGCGCACACGCTCTCACCGAGTCGAGATCCACCTCCCCACCGAGGTATCGGCAGAGATCGCAGAAGTGGGTTGCCTGCTCGACAATGGGGCCACACTGTTTGGCTTTGTTCCACCAGTCCAGCTTCCTCACCTTTGAATATGCCATGGTATAGCGCGCGGTCACGGCCATGACGGCGACGTTGTTTTCCCGTAGGACTGCCATTGCGTGCTGCACCACTTTCAGGTACCGAAGCATGTAGCCCACTGAGACGATGTTGCCCGCGTCCCGGAGGAATGTCGCGACGGGCCAGACTTCAGCCGGCCGAGCGGTCGAGAGCGGCTTCTCGCAGAAGAGGCGAGGCGCCGAGCCAAAAGTCTCGATGATTTGTGCTTCGAGGTCCCGCCCGAGGTGCATCGTTCCGCGATAGTGAGGCGGAGTCGCGAGGACGATGAGATCCGGGTGGGCGAGCATGCCGTGGGTCAAATGCTCCTTCGCCTCCTGCACGGTGAGAAAGTGCTTGGTGGTGGCATAGCAGGGCGCTGCGGCAGCGGCTCGTTTCTGGAGAAGCACTTGGCTCACGCGCTCGACGGAGGGGTCAATGACTGCGATGACTTCGAGGCGCGTGCGTAGCAATTTCTCGATGCGGAGAGAATGGTTCCATAGCACGTTGTCGTTGCCGAAAGTGATGTTGCCCTGCGAGAGATAGACGACGTCTTAGCCTCAAGGCCTAGGATCGGGGTACAAAGGCTGACTGATGGATTGAATGATTGCATACTGCGCCGACAAAAAGCACACGGACAAGAGGCTGTGGAAGGGCCGCGAGAGCCATGCTGGAATCTACCTGTTTAGCTAAGGTTTAGCCCCGCGACTTGAAACTCTGGACACGAGTATTCGCTCTGCTGGTCTAGACTGCCGTGGACAGGCTTGACGGCTTTAAATTCGACGAGAGACATGAATCGGTGCTCGGGCTGATAGAACAACAAACCAGTCTTCTCATTGAGAAGTCTTCTGAATCAGAGAGGAAGAGAGGACGAGAGGACGAGAGACGCATCGGCCTGACGGGTGAGGAGCAGCTCCTTCGATACAGATTGGACGTCGTGAGGAATACGAAGCAAGACGGCGGCATTGGACGATCAAACGAATCAGATGTTTATCCGGGCTCCGGCCGCCTGTCCAGAAGAGGCTTGGCGGCGGCGGTGGCGGACAAAACGCCGCTCGCAAGAATCAGAATGTGAGAAGCTTCTGACGGCACTCACACATGAGGTTTACAACACGGACCGGCTCCTCAGAAGGCAAGGCTTCCTAGGCCGCCAGCATGCCGCCGCTAAATACCAGCAAACATCTACAGGGCATAACTCAGACACTTGCCTCTCGCGGACTAGCAAGTTAGCCGCAGCTGTTATGATTCTTTTCAGGCTCATCTCACTCGTGGCTTTGTCCTGGCTCTGCCGCAGGCGGCTTCGGCGGTCGACATGCCCGCCGCCAACCTGCCCGCGCAATTGTGCATACTGCTACATCTTGCGCTAACACTTGTTACCACGGATGTGTACACCATATACATGTCGTTGTGTTGGAGGATCTAGGTTCCTTAGCCGGAGTAGCACAAATCTCCGGGAATTTGGCGGACGGACCTTATGGCCGTTGGCTAGAATCAGGGTCAGCTCATTTTGATTAGAGCTTCTTTACGAGGAGAAGTCTTGGCCTTCGATACATCGAAGGTCGGAGACAGTCGCTCTTGGTCGGGCGGCGTCCAACCCCAGGTGCAGGTCAATTTCCCCGTGGGGTCTGGCCCGACTCGTCGGGATGGAGTTGATTGTCTTGGGACTCAGGAGGTTATCAGCCAGGTAAGCATAATAAGAGTGGGTTCCCCCGTCTTGAAGCTCATCCTCGTGCTCTGCTCCCTTTCTCAGGCACTTCTCCCCTTTGCTTGAAGCCTGAACGCATCATGACCGAAAAGCTCGCGATCGAACAAGGGGCATATGCCTGCCACGAGGAAGTGTGCGATGCTGTCACAGGAGGACGTATTGCCATTGGCTCTGACAAGGAGGCCAACACGACCAAGTACAGCGACACCCATCCAGTATGTGACAAAACCATCCAGCTGACCATCCTTGCAGACTAGTCAACCCACTGGCCGGCATTGCGAAGCACGACCTGATGCAGGCAGTCGAGCGTTTCGCTGCGGAAAAGGACCTTCTCGACATCCTTCCCCTCCTGCAGAAGGGTGCGTGCGTGGCACAAGCCAGCGTGCCGTTCGCAGAAATTGAAGAACTCGATTCCGACGAACTTGAGAGCCTTCAATACGAGATCGCGCACAAATGGAAGCACCCGTTGGCTCTATATGTTACCGTGTTTGTCTGCTCTATCGGGGCTGCGGTACAGTATGACTTTCCCCCATTCCAGACCGCCGAGACAAGACGGCTCACACGCCAAACAGGGGCTGGGATCAAACTGGTTCCAACGGAGCGAACTTGACATTTCCTGTCGAATTTGGCATCGCCTCGGGATCCAACAGGGATAACTGGCTAATCGGTCTGGTGAATGCCATCCCGTACATATCTTCCGCCGTTTTGTAAGTCCATACATCCGCCCGGTACTCCCGTTCGTTGTCAATTTGGGCGTTTCTAATGAAAGTGAAGCGGATGCTGGCTGTCCGACCCTGTCAACTACCTGATGGGACGCCGCGGAGCGACCTTTATGGCCGCCATATTCTGCATCTTCACACCGATTGGCGGTGCCCTGTCCCAAAATTGGCATCAATTGCTTGTGACAAGACTTCTGATGGGCTTTGGCATGGGCCTGAAAGGTGAGGCCTCGGTCATTGTGCAGATGCCGTCCCGGGAACAAAGTAGACTTAGACTGACGTCTGCTCTTGTAGCCGCCACGATCCCCATGTACGCGGCGGAGAATTCACCCGCCGTCATCCGAGGTGCCCTGGTCATGGGCTGGCAAATGTGGACTGCCTTTGGAATCTTCCTGGGCTTCGCTGCCAATCTTGTGGTCTACCGAGTGGGCAAGATTGCTTGGAGACTGCAGATAGGCTCGGCCTTCATCCCAGCAGTCCCGCTTGCGCTCCTTGTCTACTTCTGCCCAGGTAAGGAAGGGCCCTTGGCAATCCTGTCTCCTGATGAAACCACTGACCCGGACGCTCAGAATCCCCTCGCTGGCTGATGAAAAAGAATCGCTATCGCAAGGCGTTTGAGTCGCTATGCCGCCTCCGACGACACAGGATCCAGGCCGCGCGTGATCTGTACTATGTCCATGCTCAACTCGTCATCGAGTACGAGATGGCAGCTGGGTCGACCTATGCCACTCGACTTTGCGAACTCGTCACCGTTCCTCGCATCCGAAGAAGTCTTGTTGCCGCTTTGGTTGTTTTCATGGGCCAACAATTCTGCGGTAAGTCTTGTCGTCTGCTCACCTGGGGTTTGGACAGGAACATCAGTATCGAACCTGGCTGATGGCAATGCTATTCTTCCGCGACCCAGGCATGAACATCATCGCCTTCTACTCCTCAACGGTGTTCGTCCAAGCCGGCGCTTCTGAGCACACCGCGCTCCTTACCTCTCTCGGGTATGGGATTGTCAACTTCGCGTTTGCCATCCCGGCGATTTTTCTCATCGATAGGATTGGGCGACGGTAAGGACATACCCACCTCACATGTTGGAAAGCCCGAGCCACTCCATCCCGTTGACAGCTGCGTAGATCTCTGCTGCTCTCGACGTTCCCACACATGGCGTGGACATTGCTCGCCGCAGGCTTCTGCTTCTACATTCCCGAGTCCAGCAGGGCGCACGTCGGCATGATTGCCTTCTTCATCTATGTGTTCACGGCCCTCTACTCCGTCGGTCAGGGTAGGTGACACTTCAGCCTCTAGTCGTCAGCGCAGCTAACCGTCGGCGTGACTTGACAGGACCCGTCGCGTTCGTATACTCGGCGGAAGCGTTCCCGCTGTCCCATCGCGAAATCGGCAACAGCTGGGCCGTATCCGCCACTTTTGCCTTGTCGTCGGCTCTATCACTGACGTTCCCGTTGATGTTGAGCACATTCACTCCGACTGGCGCCTTTGGTTTCTACGCGTAAGCTACTTTGAGCCGGACTGACCTGAATATTCCCTTCCCTTCCCTTCCCCTTCCCCCTTTTACACCTCTGCAAACACAAGCAAACGAGACGGGCCCATGATACCTGACTGACGAACCACCCCCACGCTCTACCCCTTAGCGGCATGAACGTGTGCGTCTTCATCTTGATGTTCCTCTTCGTCCCCGACACGAGCGGTTACACGCTAGAAGAACTCGACTACGTCTTTGCCGTGCCAACGCGCCGGTTCATCAGCTACCAGATCACAAAGGTACGTCTGATGCTCTGCTCGCCATGTCATGCCATGTGACGCCAGCATTTGCTGATCGGGGGTTGCAGGTCCTCCCGTGGGCAATCAGACGATATCTTCTCTTCAACCGCGGGGAGCGTCTCGAGCCACTGTACCAGTTTGAGCGCAGCGGGGGGCAGTACGGTGAATCTGGTGAATCCGCTCAAGCTCAGAGCCAGTCTCAGGTAGTGCAAGGGATGGCCAAAGACGCGATGGCTTAGTAAGGTACAGTAGTTTGGAGACGGAGCGGCGGAGACGGAGCGGCGGAGACGTGAAAACGTATAAGCACGGTTTCCCTCGCGAACGGAGGTTCCAGGTTGTCTATGTAGTAGTTCTGCGTTCCAGGCTCTTACTGTTATGAGTTCCACAGTCCGAACCCCCCATACCATGTGAACGGGATGATCGACGGCTGATGGGCCTCGACGCTGACACCACTGGTGCGAGTCAATCATGCGTTAAATTACCTAGGTAGTCCTGGTGAATCCTGTTCTGTACTGTACTGTACTGTAACGCAAGTGGCTGAGATGAGCAGTGGAGCGGTGGAGTGGTGCAGAAAGTCCTCGGTGCAGAAGCCACTTGCACTTGCACTTGCACAGGGAAGCGGGGCCCCGGCGATGGTGGGCAGCCTAAAGAGGTGGATAACAGGCGCCCTTTCTTGAGAACGGAGAGTCGTGCAACTTGATATTATCATGCCGTACGTACATAGCATCAAGGTCAATGCCGTCCATATGTATGGACCATATATTTCCCGAGGACAGTCATGTTGGTAACCACGGACCCACAGCCTGGCCCATCAGCTCACGATCACTGACACTGTCGTACGCTGCTCTCTCTTAAAGTCCATCCCCTCGCAAGCCGTGTCTACTTCTTTCTACACTTTGCTCGCACTTGTGTCTTCTACCGTCTCGACCACCACGTGGTGCTTGCCCTCGAGGCCGGCATCCTTCAATGCCACCTCCTTGGCCCGCTCAGAACTGACGCACTGGTATTTCTTAAAGTTGCGCACAGAGACGTTATTTTGGAAGAGTTCGTCCAGTTCTTCGAGCGTCCGGTCTTTCATTTCGGGGAGCAGGAAGAAGAAGAACACTAACGTTGCCAATAGTCAGCATATCGGCTCGGAACGTGGGCTAGAGAGGAGACGGGGTCCCCGAATGGAGAGTTGGCTGCAACGTACGGAACACGCAAAAGTTCGAACCTGCCCAGACAAACGCATACTTGCCACCCCAGTTGAGTTCGTCTGGGTTGATGAAATATGGTGCGGTGTAGCTGGTGAGCCCTGCAAGGTCAATTAGTCAGTCGTCATCATCCTCGCGCGCAGGACGAGAAACGACGTACAGTTGAAGAAGTAGTTGATGCCCGTGCACACGCCGATGGTCAATACTCGCAGTCTGGAGCTGCAGACCTCAGTTGCGACTGGCCAACTCAGTGTGCCGGAGAACCCGTTGTAGAAGAAGCCGTAGAGAACCATGAACGCGACAATGGCCGAGCCGGCGGGTTTCGAGGTTCCGCCCGTGACATATGCAACACCGATGGCCAGCATGCACAGAGACGCCATCGCCGAGCCAAAGAGCATCGACGTTCTCCGTCCAATGACCTTGGTGGTGAAATACAGGCCGATGAGCACGCCGGCAAAGCTACCACAGGTCGAAATGATCGAAGCCTCGAATGGTTTGTCCACACCAGCGATCTGGAAGAAGAAGGTACCATACCCGATGATCAGCCATAGTCCGGCGGCCGAATGGGACATGACGGTGCCGAGGCAGATGATTGTCCTTCGTCGGTCGGAGCCCTTGAACATGTCGAGGTAAGAAGCCGACGAGGCGAGTTCTTTCTCTTCTTCGATACCGCGAGCCATCTCGACGTACTCCTCGTTGAGGAATTCGGGGGTAAGAGAACTGCCGCGGAGCCGATCGAGAGCGCGTCTGGCTTGTTCAGGTCTGTTGTGGAAGAGTAGCCATCTAGCGCGCTGTCAGTCGTGCGTCTCCCAGAAGCATGTGCTTTCGCCGACGACGTACCTGGGTGACTCCGGGACGAAGAACATAAACACACTCAACAGCGCAGGCACGGCAAACATGCTCGCCAGTGGAATCTGGTAGCACAATTTGTTGAGATGCTGTTTGGAGTAGTTGTCTGCAACAGCTCCCAGCACGGAACCGATGTTGACCCAGACACCGAAAAACGAGACGAGAAGGCCTCGCATATGTGCAGGCGCCACTTCAGCAACATAGATATTGGCGAAGGTGATGAAGTAGCCATTGGCCAGACCGATCAGTGCTCTGCCAGCATACAATCCACCGATATTTGTTGTTCCGACCTGAACTCCGGCAGCGATGAAGTTGATCAAGGAGGCCACCCAAATGCCTTCTCGACGGCCGAAATATTTTGCAAATGGCGCTGTGATGAACACGCCGACAATTGTGCCGACGTTGATGAGGGACGTCATCAATTGTTGCGTTTGCGTATGGATACTCCATCCGCTCGCCGACTCTGGATTCCTATAGCCGAAGATCTCCAGGAACCCGATCATTGCTTGAAAGCCTATAACTCTGAATTAGGCCTGCATGGATTCCTGCGATGGTCGCTGTCCACATGAGGAGACTCACCGCCCACAGTTGCTGTATCAAAGCCATATTGGCAATTTGCCATCGATACAGCTAGGCATATAAGAAGACATTTCAGGTTTGCCCTGATAGGCGTCTTTCTCTCCTCACTGATACCCATGGTTGTCTCTTCTGAAGCTGAGCTGGCGATCTACAGGTAGTACTGCTCGCCCTGAATCTGCACAAAGAAGAGTCCTCCAGCAGTCTTTCGACGCTGCGAAAAGGGCGATCTTCACACACTTATAGCCATTGCCCTGTTGCGCCCGAGGTTGGGTCCAATGTGGATGTACGCATCTTCCCCACAATATGGGGCATTTGGAGGTTGGTGCGCATGTACCTGGGGTCCATCCTGGGGAAGCGACAACATTGGATGTATATCAGAACCCTGAAAGGGCAAGAGGCTACTATGTGGCACACATCCTTGGCTGAGGAGCTTCTCTTGAACTTCGTGCAATCCAATTCGTGGATATACGACTCCTCACGAATACCAAGAAAATAAGGGCGGAAGCTCCATAAGACTGACTTGCCGGACGCATTGCCAAGACGTCTTACAACGCTTGTCCAACGGGAATGTGCCGTGCCAACCGTGGCGACGCCCTGTCTATGTCCTTTAGGTATGTCGGCCGGCTGGTTCCCAATAGATTGGCCCCGCAGATTAGTGTGTATTAAACCAACCTGGAGGTGTGCGGCCATTCTTCAATGTCCGAGTCTTTTAGGTGTTTGCGCGGCGCGAAACGCTATAATACTGTCGAGGCTCTGGTGCGTGGGACTGATCGCGTTAGCAGATCATCTTGGCTTTGAGCCGAGCCGAGGAAGCAGGATCTCAATGCTGACCAAAGGCTGCGTTGCCAGAGGTGCCCCGTAGTCCGTGCTCTCTCAGCAGTTCATGCTCAGGGCTGGCAGCAAGTGGTATTCCTTCAGGGCATGTATATATCCGAACCGTCCCCTGAGAGGACTAGTCGCCACAGAAGGTGAAGCATATCCTCTGTATCCTCCATCGAGGCTGGCAGGAGTCCAGGGAGGAAGTAGCCTCGGTACCGAAGGTAAATAGCAACCCACGTGGGGAACCTTAACTATTTGCTCGTGCAGACCCTCACAGCCCCAGCAGTGGAAGACGGTCTTGAACACTATCGCAGATTGGATCCCTGCCCAGATTGGCGGGTTGTACCCAGTACTCTGGTACACGATATACACAGTAGTACCGGTGGAGGGTTAGTCGGAGGCGGGTGAGCAGGGCGGAATGTGGAGGAAGGTTTCTCTCCGACATCACCAAAGTTATCGCAATCTCGAGGTTTCTCCCAGCTGCGACAAGCTCTGGCCCTCCTCCTCGTGGTCCTTTGACCAGAGTCCATACTCTGCACAAGCCTTTGAAACAAAGCAGGAAGCTATGCGATGCCGATTATGTTCAGAGAGCAGGGATTCTTGAGCCGAGAGTGGCCACATGGAAATCATAGTCTCGACCGTCGTCTGTGCTCCTTCACCGGGTCCGGCTGAGACTGAATTAAGGTATGCTTGTCGTCAACGAATATCTGCTGATTGAGCCTTGCGGCCAGAGAAAGCACACGTATTGAGACAGCTGCTTCGTCGCGTCTGTTCTTACCTTCACGCCGATACTGTGCAATCTTCTCGATGAAGTCCCACAGGCGTCCCGATGGCCTCAATTCGCCCGAAGAGGCATCCCTTTCGGGCGTCCACTCGGGAGCCAGTCGGACTGTGGACTTGTTCCTCGCGTCCGGAGCCTTTGCAACCTGAATAATTCCTTCCTCCTGGAATCGGCTGTAGGCATTTTTGAGGGCTTCTTTGTTGACCGCCTCAAAATAAGACAAATCACCTTGATGGTACAGGGTACGACCGGCAAGCTGCGCCATATCTTGAGCCTTTTGCATCTCGATCCAACCAGCAGACGACCCAGCTGGGGGTGCCAAAGCCAGTAAGGACACTGCCCCCAGCCATGCGGCGTCGACGAAAGGCCAGATAAGGAAGCAATACAGGTCATAATTCTCTCGGCCTGACCTCCGCTCTGCATCTGACAAGCCGATCATTGTCTCACCGCTCTCAGTTGCAGCTAAGACGTCGTCTCGTACCAGGCCATGCATGGCTTCCTCGAGGTTATATTGTAAACCCTGTCCAGCCGGGAAGATAAATTCGCCTCTGAAGAGCTGGGAAAGAAAGGTGACTTTGTCGATCAATTCAGCCTCACTCATGCGCTCATTGGCACTCCCTCCCCCTTGCTTGACCTTGCTGTACAAGGCAGCCGCGATGAGGGCCTCAGAGATGAAGAGGTGGATGGTCATGTTCCTGTAGAACGAGAGCTGAAAACGATCAACCGCGTAATATGTCTCTTCGGCCAGGCCGTCCACAGTGCCGACGAGCTTTGGACCCAGTACGTCCAAAGCTCGTTCAGCTACATATGACGTGCTCATTCCCTTGAAGTCCGCGACCTTCCCGCCTTTCAACTTGATCCTTTTGGCGAGCCAGTCGACCCGCCTTATGAGCTCGGACTTCCCAATGCCGCGTCCACGAATCGTAAGCAGAACAGTCCCGACCAAGGCAGTGGGCATGACGACTGAAGCCGCGTTAATATCAGAAAGTACCCGGTAACCGAGAGTTCGAAGCAGCCG